CGTCCTCCCTCAAAATTCCAGCTTTTGTGTCCTTGCTCTAATTGTACTGCCATTTTACCCTGATTACATGAGTACAACCATGGATCGTGTTTTGTTTAACGATCGGCTCTGTGCACTGTTCGTAGTAGTTTCTTATTCAACCATTTGGCACCAAGGAAAGAATTCAGTGGCTCCTCACAAAAGAGTTCTACTTTCACATTACTATTTTTAAGCCTCTGTATGCTAACTTGCATTGATGAAGCATATTTATACTGCATATTCAGCAGTTTACAAGTCAAATGAAACACCTTTTTCAGCACGGCCATGAAAAGAATTCCTGTGATCAAGGCTACCCTCACCAGGATTTGGGGGGGAACTCAAATGGTAGCCTGGAAACAAATCGGTGTGATTTGGTTGGTTGGTCTGCCGGTAAAGTCTGTTTTTGGATTTGATTCTAGGCTGGGAGTCAAACTCTTTCCATCAAACTCTTTTTCCCCAATGTTCCCACTAATGAACGGCACTAATTGATTGAAAACGCTGGTGGGAGGGGATGAGCAAGGCAAGGGTGTTGTAGTGTGAGAGTGGAACGGTTTGGACACAAACAGAGTCTGGACTCGGTCCAGACTGATGCTGGGGCCCACAGTGCGAGCTCGGAGTATTATTGTACACACAGGAGAAATATAATACAGAGAAGGGTGAACACATAAAGGGACGGTTAGTTCTGAGTCTCTGAAGCTGCTCCCTGCTGAGAGTGAAAGCCTTTTGTGGTTAATTACAGTAATCCCTTTAGGTTGAATTACCAGTGTGAATTTGTGACCCACCGCACTATGGATATGCGTGTGGTATAAATTTTAATGATGGATTTTGTGTGTCTCTTTTTTGTGTGTCTTTTCTATAGAAAGTTCAGTGACACCCATAAGTCTTTGGACCTTTAGTTTTACCCAGTGAATGTCACAAAAGGTGAATTGTTATTAATTTGCATAGTAATTCTCTCACCAAAAAGGGAAGGAGAGCTTTTCTCAAGTGTTCTCGTAGAGATCAGGGATGTTTTTTTATTTTATTTTAAAGGAACTTTATTTATTTATTTAGCCCTTGGTTTGAGGAAGTAGCTGTTCTCCAACCCTCCAACCCATTACAGATTTGGCTCCAACAGTAAAACATCAGATCAACCTAAATCAAATCTAGTAGTATACATAGCACATATATACATACAAATACATAAACATATTGTCAGGTGATGTGGTTAACAATATTGATCTGAACTGATGTGCTAAATTCGAATTAAAGTATCATCTCGAAGGTCTCTCACCTTTTTTGATGCCACTGTTGTATGAACAGTGAACATAACAAAATAAAATACTTTTATGAAAAGTCTTGAGGAATAAAAATACATTTATATTTAATAAAGTCTCTGTATGTTCTCCATCTTCCAACTACTTTGTTTAAACAGAATGAAATAGGACTGACTTGGCTTTTTGAAGAGGTTTACCTCTCGTCCAAGAAACTTCTTATATTAAATCAATTGCCAACTCAGAAGACTATACTTTCAAAAAGTACATGTAAAACAGTCTTTCTAGCATCCTTCAAACATCCTTCACTAAAAATCTCCCTACAGCCGGGCTGACCTCAATAAGCAATCACTTCACTTTCTCTGCAATTGGGTTCAACATCCCCTTGTAAAAAAAATATCAAATTTAATTTCCCCTGTCCATAGATAAAACCTTTTCACACCATCCCCATGGTGGCATGTGCCGAGTGGATCAGCGTCAGCCCCAGAATCAAAAGCTGTGCTTTGTTGTTTGGTTGTGTCCACTCCACCTTAGATTCCTGACTCCCGTTCAACCCTAACATCCATTTTCTCTGCCAATGCAAAAATCCCAGTGTGTCTGCACTATTCCACTTCACTCAGCTGTTACCTGAGTGGAAAAGGCCACATTTCCCCGAAACGGAATCACAGCTTCAACTCAGCTCTATTGATATGAAAGAGATGGTGCTTGAACTGATGGAAATACTAGTGGTTGCCAGAGAGCTGCAGATTTGACTGAATCTGTTTGTTTATATAAAACTAACTAAACATTGCAGTTAACACTAACTAACTAATTATCACTGGTACGGCAAATGTTGTTTTTTTTGTGTTTGTTTGTTTGTTTTGTTTGATTATTTTTGCAATATTAAGGTTTTTCCCGTCTAGCTCTTAGCTATCGCATGTGATAACTATCATTTGGTTATTTTTTATTTTAACCGTTGGCTAAATTGGTGTATTGCAGTTGTTATGCGTTCTTCTTAGTTAGCTTTTATCTAGCAACATTTTTTTCTCTATCCTTAATATCTCTATTTTAATCTCTATTTTGCTAATTTTTTGTAATTTTTTTAAATCTACATTTTCTTTATTTCTTTATCTATATTTTTGGAAACTCTAAGTCTTTGACAATGGTGTCTTGGTGGGTGACGAAGCAAACTTGGCTCTAGAAGGTTACAGGTTCAAGTTCATTACTGGTTCTCTGTCTGAGAATTGTTTTGGTCATTAACTTAAAGACTAAAGACTAAAGATTAAAGACTAATATTCAGTTGTTTTGCTGTGTTTGCTATTTTTGCTAAGAGAGGCTAACTTTTGAGAAAAAAAAGTTTTTTATGATTTCATATTCAATTTTAATAATTTCATAAGAATCTGTCCACAGCTGTCTGATAGTGACAGACATCACCACATGAACAAAATCTTGGGTTTTAAAAAAGTCCCCTTTACAAAATATTATTTAAACCCTCAATACCCCTGCTGCCTTAATTTGGACCACGTTATTCATCCTGAAATCTCATCAGTGAAATCTAACAATACCGTTTGGTTCTGCACATATAAACTGGGATGCCGCCTTTTGTCCTTGTGGTTTGTGTTTGAATGATTTTCCATGAACACTGCTTTATATTTAGTGTGTTGCAAAAAAAAGGCAAAGCAGTTTCAATTGTGTGTTTAATTTTTACTAAAAGGATTTACAACGGAAAACAAGTTTGATTGTTAACAATAAGACACTCAGTTTTTTTTTCAATTGTCCACCACAGTATAGCAAATGTGCTATACTGTGCTGACAATGTAAAGTACATCACCACATGTATGAGGTTTGGACAGATATGTACATATACAGCACATAAAAACACAATATTCATACTGTACAGTCCTTCGTGTGTATGCGCCTCTTTATTCCAGTGTCACCGTTGTGACAATGGTTTCAGCAGCAGCGATTGGGACGTGGGAGATTGAATATGGTGGCTCACTATAGGTTGTTTAAAACGGTTACAAATGGATTTATTGTGCTGGATCAAGGCCACAGCATCTTTACTGCTTCTACAGCTTGTACAAATGAAAAACGGTTGCTCACCAGCGGCCAGTTTAAAGCATTGAATTGCAATGGCACACTGTCATTGTGGTGTGTCTGCTCTACACACACGACAAAATACAGGAATTGTGTGTAAAGAGAGATTCAGATGCAGAGCAGTTGAAAAGTGAAAGCAGCTGCAGTGGTGGCCAGTCTATTACACTGTCCAGGAAGTGTGACATTCGAGTTGTACTGAAACCAGTGCTGCTTTATATTTCACTTTTGTTCACATTATTATGGCACAAACAACATCTTTACAATACCTCAGGAAAAAGCTGCACACGATTCTTTTCTCAGGAGTGTGACACCAAGGTTCTATGTCTGGTCAACGTCATACAAGTGTGCAGAATACCTAGAGTTCTGGATTTGGTTCTATTTAAATAGAAGGTGGAAACACTCACCGCCTACCATCCAGTCTGAAACCATGACTTTATTAATAAAACAAAAAGGGAAAAGCTCAGATTAAATCTTATAAAGGAATAAAATCAAAAACACCAATGATAAAAAAAGAAGTAGCCCTTTGTTAGAGCTTTTTTTAACATTATACATATTTTAGTAGAGTATTCAATTCACAGATTTTTCAAAAAGAATTTGTAAAATTTCTGGGTATTTTACCCATATTTCTAAAAGATATATTGTTTTATCACCTAATGTAAATATTTTCAAAAGGGAAAAGAATGTTGTGGTGAACTGTAGGGATATAATAAAAAAATTAATCTACCATCAATAATCTACAGGCCTAGATTTTTTTTCTTCGTTTTGATTAATTATTAAGTTTCTTTTATGGTCCAAATGTTTAAAGGCTTCTCCAAAAAGAAAAAAAACATGCAATATTTATTATTCATTTTATTCTGTTGACCATAGTTCACACTGTTTTATAACTTGATTTTAGTGTTTATTTCAAAGCTATAGATTTGTTTTTAAACAGCTGTTGTCTGCATCAGAAAATAAATAAATAATGAAATGACAGAAATTAATTTTATTTTAAATACATTTATTTAAAAGAACAACGACTTAAATTGACAAAATCAAAATATTGTCTTCGTTACACAGTTTCACTTATACAACACTGTTCCACTCAAAATGTGAAATATACACTTCTGTACAAAGCATTCAACTGCGATCAATAGTTTTTTACTCTTCTTTTCTCTATTTTAAACATTTTAAATAAACTTGCTGCTGACCAGCATGTCTCCGCCAACAAAGTGCAAATTGAAGTACAGGGTGTTTTATTGAGTGCGGCTCAGAAAACAGCAGATCTTTAAAAGAGCGACGAAACATCAACGAAATGGATGAGAATTATTTCTATTTGTTGAAATAAATGAGGTGGCTGTTGCTTCTAGTTTTTAAAGTGCAACTTTTGTAAAAAAAATAAATAAATAAAAATAACAAAAAAAAAAAGTGGAAACGCTGATACATGTATTCATTTTCTCAGTGTACAGAAAATGTCGATACCGATTAGAAAATACCTTTCCGAAATACTGTTTTGGTTTTCTGTTAAAATAAAAAAAAAATAATTCAGGTATTTAAAACACGTCAAAAACAGAATTGTGCTTAGTGATTAATTGTTAAAATGTGTCCATGTTTATTACCATTTTGTTATCAATATCGTTTATATAGATTTCAAAATGAAATCTAAGAAAATACGTTCGGTTAAATTCTTAAACGTATATTTTTTGGCAAATTTTGATTTTATTTTTTGAGAAAAAAAATGGAAATCAGTCGCCTTGATTTTGTTTTTAACTGGCTTTTAAAAAATCTTGTCATGTTCAGTTGTGGACACCGTTGAAGACAGTCAGTCTCTTCTGGACATGTGGAGACACTTTAGTCGTTATTTTTGCTGGACTCTTGGTCGCTCTGGTCGTCGGTGAAACAGACGTCCACGTCACTCTCATTGTCGCTCTTCTGCTCGGCGTCTTCATACAGGCCTTCAACCTTTTCCTCCAGTTTCTTGACTGAGTGTCCAGGGTGTCTGGACTTGACGTGTCTCTCCAGGTCCCGTCTCCGGACCAGGACCTTTCCACAAAAGTCGCACCTGTAGGGTGTGTTCCCTTCTGCGTGGAGCCGGATGTGCTTGTTCAGGTTGCTGGGGTCTCCGAAGGGCCTGAAGCAAACTTTACACTTGAGCGGTTTGTAACCGGTGTGAGTCCTCATATGGATTTTCAGGCCGTATTTTCTGGAGTAGAGTTTGCCGCAGTACAAACACAGGTGTCCCTTTTTGGGTTTGCCAGAACTGGTGTTGTTGGCGGGACCTGCGGGCACCGAATCCAGCCTGGCCCGGTTCTTCTCCGCTGTGATTTCCGATAGTTGTTGCGTGTGCATGGCGATCTCCCGATCGATGTTGGTGATGGAGCCCAGATCTTGGCTGAGGGAGGGCGCACCAAAGTAGGACATGGGCTCTGGGTACTTGAGGAGGTTCCCAAAGTGGAGTTTGAGGGGGTAGTACGGTGAGCTGTAGAGAAGCTCCCCGTTGTATACAGTGAAGGGCATCACTGGGATGCTGCAGTCTCCCCCATAGGTCTTAACACCATCGAAGTGAGGGGGGAGTGAGAACCGTTCAAAGTGGAGTCCAGGAGGCACCGCTGGGTACCGGGACGGGGACAGACCGGGGTGCATTCGATTCTCTACATGCTTAAAAGCCGACGTCTCTTCCATGTGTGGCAGTAACGGGAACGCGCGGATTGCGTTAGTGCACGGCACCATTGGTGACGTGGTGTCCACTATTGCAGGTGTGCATTTTGGAGGAAGGCTCCCACTTCCGTTCACCATCTCGGCCACATTACGGATTGGTTTCATGTTCCCTATGAGCTTACCGAAACCCATTCCGCCCAGTTTCCCGCTACTGGCGTCCTCCCTGGATGGGTCAGCGCCCGGCATTTTTGATACACCCGCTGGCTTGAAGGCAGAGCGTACACCCGGGTGGAAGCCCATGCTGCTCAGCACCGACGGTGTGGCTCCCAGACTGAGTAGCTGCCCTTGATGTCTGGCTGCGGTGACACTCATGTCCAGGGCCCTGTCCTGCTCCTCGGAGCTGCTCTTCTTTGACAGTCCAGCTTTGATTAAAAAAGATGAGGGCACCGCTCTCCTGCCTGAGTCTGAATGACTTTGTGTGCTCCTGGGTGACGTGGATGTGTTCGGGATGTCTCCAGACTTTGGTGACCTGCTGAATGTCTCTGTGCCTCTAGCCTGCTGCTCGCTGTGCACGAAACCCCGCCCGTTGCTCAGTGCGCAGTGAAAGTGGACGTGGGCCTTAAGTGTGTTCGGGAATTTGAATATTCTCCAGCAGTACCAGCAGATGTAACGTTCGTCACCTGTCGAGACAACAGCAAACAAACGTTAAAAGATTGGGATTGATGAGCGTCATTATAGGACACGGCAGTTTCACAACGTTTCCATGCGTAAAAATCCCAGATTTGTGCGTAAGATTGGATCTACAGGTTTGGTCAACTGTAGAAAAGAGGCGTTTGGGCTCACGTAATAACATCACACTCGATGGTGCCACAACTGTAAACAGCAGGCAAAGAAAAATAATAAGGTGAACGGGATTTATCAACGGAATTGACATTAAAATCATAATAATAGGATCGAACGTGTGCTCATTCTAATAAAGGGACATCCTACCAGTAATCACACTCCAATTTAGGCCCTAATGGATATGATGCGGTTTCTAAGATCCTGAGCCAAATGGTAACAGACCCCGGAGCCATTCTAATGGCCCCCATGAGTCGAGCACTCGGAGGTTAATATAGATGTAATGATTTTGTAATCCTCATACGGCCCATTGTTTATGATCAACCATCAAAAGAGCAAACGCCCACCCCAATCTGGCGCTCCACAAACCCATGCATTGAATGCGCTACAACCTCTTCTGTGCTCTTTCCCGTGGAAGTGACAGCAGCTGTGGCTTGAAATCGCAAGTCTGCAGAAACAATGGTGCCGGCCCATCTGTTGGAGCCATAATAATGGGAAGCGAGCGTATGTCCAGGAGCGCACACGGTGTGCTGGGCCGGAGAATCAGGGCAATATACACCCCACATAAAAGTTAGCATTCATTAGGCCACAATACCTTAACGCAGCCTCCCTAATCCAGCGTGAAGCACTCGTTCACGTATTTATTTGCTTTTTGACGGCATGAATATTAATGGCGCCGTGGCATTTGTTAACCTCCATCGCTGGGCTTCAATCACCAGCCTTTTTTTCCTCTCTTTCTCATTCACAAACGGCTGCTTTGGTTTTTAATGGGTGCTTTTATAATTGTGTGTTTTTAAGCACAGAGTATATAGTTTTATAATTCTGTCCTTATGATCAGTTCGATAACACATTGAATGTCGCCTCACGGGTTTTAGTCTTTCCAGAATTACGTATGCGTACTGCCTCTTAATTATAGTAACAGATTAGCGGCTGGCGGACCCCTGTTCTGTCAGGATTAGACATATAATCCCCAAGCACAACATTGAAATCCCGTAATAATCCCTGCACTTATAAAAGATGGATTAAAAGTCAAAACAGAGGAAAACGATATAAGAAGAAAAACAAACTAAAACAAGACGTTAAAGTCAGCAAATTTGGAACAAGTTGCAATTTATGTTCTAGATCCTGGGCCAGCCTCTCAAACCAAGTCCCTTTATTTCTTTCAGAAAAAATCTTAAATATTTAATGGAATATCTCCGGATTACCACTGCGCACGGAACAAAACATTGTTATAAATAAATGCCAATGCAAAAAAATGATCTATATCATTTTTATAGTATTTAAACTTCGATTTTATTTGTTCTTTGACTAAATTAATGCCAGTCCAGTTCTTCTCTCTCTCACAATTTGTAATTAACTTTTTGGATATTTGCCATTTTATCGAAACTAATGCGAAAAAACAAATGGTGGTGGAGGCAGTTGATCAATTTAAAATGAGCAGATATCTTAATTATTATTAGATTTTCATTAGAAAGTAATCGGTTTTTTGTTTTGCAATATATATTATAGAAAAAAAGGATTAAAAATTGATTTTCAAAAGTTTTTAATTAGCACTAATCATTCAGATTAAAAATTAATCCCAAACAGATGTATTACATGTCAAAACAGAAGCCAAACATGTATAAAAGAGCTTCACTTTCAAATAAAAAGCGGTTAATCTCGACTCTCTTGGCCTGATTGGTATTTTTAATGTTGACCTGACATAATATCTCCTCTTTGTACCAGATTAACACATTTCTTTTCTTTTCCAGGATGCATGTGTTGAAGCCGAGTGACGTCATCTATCGTCTTCAGATTATCACTACAGGCGAATTCAAACGAGACAAATTGATTTTCCTTGAAATTACTTCGTCTAAAAACTTTTTTGAATTGACCCCAAATTAGACTTAGGGAGAAAATGTTCCAAAAAAAAAAAAAACAGTCCTTTCTAGTATTTGTCTGTGGTATTGACAGGCATTTAACTGAGCAGTGATGGATTCTCCAGTATATCAATGACACAGCCAGACATTTCCTAGCCTCTAGTCAAATGTTGCCATTATTATTATTATTATTATTATTATTATTATTATTATTAAAATGTTTATGACTAAGAAACACATTTTCTTTACCTTTCTCATCGTGGGTGGGAGTGGCCGTGGTGGGGATGTCGTACCACTGGGCCAGAGCGTTGGAGTACCAGACACCGAGCTCCTCTCCAGCAGGGATTTCTCTCAGGACGCGGTAGAAAATCTGCGTTTTAAAAATTGATGGACAAACTTTGATCAGTTTAAATTCTCTGAAGAAATAATCCCAGCTTGTTGTAAGAGTAATCTAATGAGAAACTCACCTGTCCTCCCGGTAAATCCGACACTGCTTCCAGGTTTTGCTCCTGACTGTTCCTGGCAGCCCGGATTAGTCCGATCCAGTCCGACACAGGAGAGCCACACTCGTCAAGGAACTCCCCGCGCACCAATCGAATCTGGAGGAAAGTGTTGCAAGTGAGTAACACCAGCTATATTTTATTTTTTGCTTCCTTTTATTTCAAATGCGATGGAAGAATTCCGTTCATTCTGCTCTGTGCTCAAAAATACCTGGAGGCAGAGCGGCGGCCGCGCCTATAAATGCAGCGCTTTATCCGCTCTGCTGATAATTTACTAAAGAGAATGACACACGGGCCCTAATTGACTTGATATGGGAAACGAATTTGAGGAGTGTCAGAGCGTCTCTAAAGTGTTCAGGGACATTAAAGATGGAAGCGTGACATTTGACACGGAGATTGCACCTGATGATCGCCCCGCGGCCCCCGGGGGCCACGCATTTAGACGCATCAATCACAGGCGCTGACAGCTTCAACAATAACAGGGTGCGTTATGGCAAATTATTTCACACTTTTTATGTATTCGTGTTTTTTTTAAATATATGTATAATGTAATTATTTTATTTTTAACTATTAAGAAAATTCAATCTTGTAATATTCAAGATGATAATTGAATAGGCCAAAACAACTGTAAATTATAATCGGATTTTTATTATTATTTTAAAATTAGTGTTTATTGGTGTTATTTTTTTATTCCCTTGCCTTGCCTCAGGCACTATGGGCCCGTGTGACAGCTTTCTGTGGCCTGATTTCATTAAAATTAAACGGCTCATCGGGGCAACAGGCCCGCCAGGCAGTGAAATGTGAGGCGGCAGAGCTAGAGCCAGAGCCGCCCATTAGGCCAGTTAAACACAGACTTGACAAGTCTGCCACTGAAGAAGCTCAATTATTCCCTAACGTGTCAGACCAAAGCTATTAATAAGTCAGGACTCAATACTGTTTGACAGTGCAGTTTTTAAACATTTTTGTCCAAATGTAATTTTCACCTGCAGCATTTGGCACAAATGGAATGCGTAAAAGTGTAAACTGTTCTCAATTAAGTGAAGTAGTAAATCTCAATAATTTCCAATATTCAAATTCTGGTGTGTCAATCTTACCTTCTTCTTGGATCCAACTTCCTTGCGGTCTGACTGGTACTTCCCGAGTTTGAAGATACCCGGTACCGGTCCTATCCGGAGACCGGCCGGGATGCTGCAGTCCGCAAACACACTGACGGTGGTGGACGCCCGGGTGGCTTGCATGGTGATGTCGTGGGGTGCAATCAGAACCATGAAGGCTGGTGAAGACCAAGTAGAAGAGAAAGCGCAGGGAAAGGAGGGATTGGAGGAGGTGATGGAGGAGGAGAGGATGAGGCGCGGCTGATATCCGTCCTCAAAGTGATGCTGTGGTGTTTTGCTGGCCGGCTTTTCTAGTGGTGGTGCAGACATAGGTAGCCCCCATACCCCACCCCTCTGAAACCCACCACACACACACTAACACCCTCCACGCCCTCAACACCCTCCCAGCCTCTCCAAGTCCAGGATGCTGCTGCGCAATGTTAGATACACTTTAAAGGGGGAGCTGTCCAGCAGAGTCCAGGCGTGTGCGTGTGCGCATGTGTGCGACTGTGAGAGAGTTGGGCTCTCCTAGCAGCTGTGAGGAATAGGGGAAACGGGCCCGGGCCTGCATGCATGGTCACATGGAGACTTTCCCTCACCCCGTCGCATAATGAATTGCTCCAGAACGGTCAAGAGACACAAAGAGCCAGGCGACCTTCCCATCCCCAAAATCCAATTTGTCAAGGGCAGAGAAAAGAGGGTGTAGAATCAAAGGTCCAGAGCGACCATTAATCCTCAGCATGTGGCTTTGTCCTGCAGACAGTTCCGATATTTTCACTGACAAATCCACTGTATAATTTATCCATAAATCCTCGCCCTTTTTCATCCTCCCCATTCAGGGCAGCGTTTGGAAATGAGTGGCAACTTTAAATCTACTCGGCCGGCATTCTTTGGGTTTTATAGACTTCAAAGCCTCTTTATTCTGCCTCTTTTTTTGTGTGTCCTCAGGTTAACAAAAGGCGCAGAAAGTTTAGAGGACTTGTTAACTCCTATTGACTCTCGGCGTGTGCCGCGGGTTGCGATCAGGCAGGTACTGAAAAGGCAGAACCACCAGTGGGATGAAGAGAAGAGACTAGAAATAACCAGCACCATCTTCCCAGTGTGCACGCGTATGTGCACATCAACTCTAACACATACAAAATCGTATAAATCGCCATAAATCGTTAATCTTTTTTTTTATCGTACACAATTTTTATATTTAGTAAAATGTATTTAAAGAATTTAAAAGAACATAACTGACATATATGATCGGTGCAATTCCGTGCGTTAATGGACATACATGTTCGATCTAATTGATTGATTGATTGACTGGAAAATTATTTTATTTAGTTAAGTGCAGTTAAAATTTTTCTTCTATTTTATGTTAAACATAATAAAAACCATGTCATTTAAAACAACAGGTATTTAAATAACTAATAATAAATAAATAAATAAAACGATTTCGGTGTGTTTATGTATATTAAAACTAATATATACCTATACATACATATAATTCAATTGGTAAATCAATTCTAAATATAATAAAATACAGTACGTATTACAGATATATAAAAAATGATTTGATAATGTGCCTTACATCACCACACAGCATTTTAACCAAACAAAAAAATCTTATGATGAAGAATCGTATGCATTCCCATTAAGAAGGCCATATACACAGTCTTTAAATGGTCCAAAGGCCTTGAGTGATGGAGCTGCTGCATGGTTGACACGGAGCATTGTGTAGTGGGCTGTGATTGGAGGTAGGCACTGGCTGTGTGCAGCAGGTTGTTTAAAGCCTTGCTTCTAGAGGACGCTTTTGATTCTGCAATGACGAGTCTGAACACAGGGTGATCCACTCAGACCATGAACATGTTAACCTCTGACCCGTCCTCTGACCCGTCCACTGAGTCACAGGTTCCACAGATCCGGAGATGGAATGAGGGCTTATACATACCTGCATGTTGACATTGGGTTATTTTATAAATGGACCCTCATCAACTGGAGGACTAGAACATAAATTCTGGAGCACAGTCCTCCAGCTGCATCCACTTTAAAAACGGACCGTATAAGACACATGAATCTCGGTGCTCCCCACACTCCTCCACACTCAAAAGAGCTTGAACGACACGCGAACAATCTTGTCAATAGGCGCAATGTTTGCACCCGGCTGTGCGGGAAGGTTATTTATTAACGCCTCTGCATTTGTGGCTGGTTCCCATCCAACCCTAAAGCTGCTTTAAGAAAAAGGGAAGAGAAAGGCAAAGAAAACGCACTTCTACGAAGTGAAATTAATTATGCTGCGGGTAGAAGGAGAAGACGTTTTCTTTCTGTCTGCGGAGAAGTTGCTGTTTGGTTGAGAATCCTCCTCCTCCTCCCACTCCTCCTCTCCCTCCTGCACCGTAAAGACCCGGACAGCAGTGAAAGGACTCGGTGTCAGGGTGAAAGCAGCGTTGCAAGCAAATGGCATGGAAAATTAAATGAAATTAAATGGCTTGACCGGCGGCATTGTCCCTCCTCCCTCTTGAAAGAATAAGACACATTAATTACATGGTCGGATCTTTAGCCCGGGACAATATTGCAGAGTCAATCAACATGATTTCTGCAAGTGCGCGTCTCCCAAATGAACTGCGCGTTTCTGTAATGAACTTAAATAACGACCTGAGAAGAATCGGAGTTTTTAAGAGGTTTTTACGGGCGGCTCTGGCCTGCCAGCCTTTTTCCTTTCTTCTTCTTCTTAGGCGACCTCATCTGTCTAAACGGTGGGGTTCTGATTTAACTGGTTGGCCATTAATGAGCCATGAATATAGAGGAACAACCTGCCTGCAAAGCAACGCGGTAAATACAGAGAGCAATGCCCCACCAGGGATCACCATTCATGTGCCCTGACTATACCTCAGGGGTGCCAAGGGTTCAACCACCACCTCTGCTGGACTGGTTTCAATGGTCTGCCATTTAAGACCCCTCCGAGCTCAGAAGAAAACACATTTTTTATGTCGACCCATAAACTTTGTTTGGCTCCATTCAAGGGAGCCGCAATCATTGTCTCACATAGCAATGTGGCCTATTTCTCACAGATTCCCACGTCTTAGAAATGACCGCGTATTTGTCTAGAACCATTTATTTCTCCGCATGTGAGAGCCCACCACGTCCTCAGCACCACTCACATGCACTTGGTACCATTTCTTTGACTGAAGATGGGGTTCAGTGGACATAAGAAAAGTTCACACAGCCATGAAAATAAAGCATTGGCACCAAGATATTTCATGTTAGAATCATTTTATGTCTTTAATTAGATTTATAATGTGTACATTACAATTGAATACAAACCGTATTGGGGAAAATCAATTGGGGGATAAATTTAAACTCAAATAAAAAAGGAACACGTTTCTTGAATGAATGCTATAAAAACACGCATAAAGTGATTTTGGCTTACCTAAAGGTTCAGCTGTTGTAGTTGGAATTTTTTCCAAAGCTATTGCTTGCAAAAGGCGTTAATAATAATAATAATAATAATAATAATAATAATGCATTAAAGATGCCCATTATTAAAGTAGAAAATAACTATGACATTTGACAACATTGGATGTGTTAAACCATCTGTTAAAATCAATATTTTTCATTTGCGTTGAATATGTAAAATGGTAACAAATTATAAGCATTCTACAGGACAATGTTACAGGCCATGTTATATTTTACAACATTTTCTTCATTCTACCGAACTATATATGATCATGTGCTGTGTTATATGAAGACATACAGTCTGTAACATTTTAGCCATCATTCTGAAGGAATTTTTAGGTCATCAAAGAACATCAAACCTAATGTGCAGCATGGAGGTTGAACATTATTTCATCGAAGATGTACAGGACAACTGTATCAGTACGGATGGAAAACGTCTAGAAATTATATTTCTTTCTCATTGTTTTACAGTGCGTGCGTGTGAACCTTTTGTGTTTACTGTAAATTCAGATTAATTTGTAAGAATCTGAATGAAAGATTCCTTTCACTCCCACAGGAATCTTGAGACGGGACCCTGTTAATCCTTTTTCTCCACCATTCTTCTCCTTTTATTTCCTTTTATAGCTTTCACAGTCTCCTTGAAGGTGTTCCATTTCTTTGGAGAATCTCGGGGAAACTTGCAATCTGTTGAGGGAGCAGACCAGCTGCCTGGATGCGGGTGGGACATTAGTGCTGCATTTGAATAGTAATTGTGCTTGTATGGGACTCCCACCAGATGACATGATTGGGATTTTAACCCAGACTAATATTCAAAATCGCATTAGAGAGGATGCGAATAAAGAGCAGCTGATTCAACGCTGTTCATGCGTGATTTTATTTTAAAATTCCTCCCCTTTCTCCCCCTCCCTTCTTCTTTTTCTTCCCGATTTCAAAGTGTCTCAAACTTTGTTGCGGTCGGCTCCTTAGTTTGTTATCCAGGGCCACATTTGCCTGACTTAAACGCACTTTGTTACGCATGACGAAGCGCAGATAAAAACGAGCGGGCTTGCGTGAATTGATATGTTTCGGTGTATCTTATAAATTCATACCTTTTCTCACTCGAGTGCCTCATAAAGAGCGCGTCACTCAGGCCGATTCTCTCTGCTGTCCGGCGCATTTAGCAGAAGATCTATTTGCTGAGTTCATTCCTAGGCAAATGTATGCATGCAGGGCTGCGCGTCAATGGAGCAGCGTGTCAGCCGACCCTAATTGGGATTTAGCCACCAAAGCATGTGCACAAAGTGTCAGAAAATGGCAGGTTTCAAAGAAACTCCCAACTTTTGCCCTTGTGGGTGAATGTAGGGAGCGGTTTCCCTCGCTTGTGGTAAAACCACCATTTTTCTCCCAGGATGGAGGTTAGTGACCCATTTGGCTCTCGTGTGTTTCTGCGAACAGAAAGTCTTAAGAAAACAACTAAAAGGTTTAAAGGACATGTTCGACTTTAACCTTGGGAGGCATTCGGGCTCGTGTTATAAGTCGAATTCATTACAGAAAGCTGCATTTAGAGTATAAGGCTATTATTTTTTTCATATGTTATTTTATTCCTAGTCGTTTCATTATTATTGAGTATTATTGTTGGCAATGTGGCTTAATACAAAAGAATATATAAACCATATCATATATATATTAATCGTCATCCATTCATATTTCAACACGTTATAAAAATGACAACAGTAATACTAAAAAAGCTTGCAACAATAGCATTTAAAAAAAAGAAAAAAAAGAATACCCTCTCCTCTCTGATGCATCAAATGATGGAATATTCCTTTCCTGTCGACCAAGCACCATGGATAGCTCCGGAGTTCCGCTTTCCACACACTCAGACACACGCACGCGCAAACACACACACGTCGACACAAACACAGTAATTGTAATTATATTAAAAATAAATTAAGGTCCTTTATTCATAAAACGAGAGACTCTTGAGCGCCTGACCTGAAAGTCGACTATGGAATATGGAGTTAGTTAATCCTATGCAGTCGTATGCAGCATTCAGGTTGGTTGCACATCATTATTTTGCTGTAACAAAAATGTGATCCAATGATAGGATCTCCTTATTATCTGCGACTTACAGTTACTGGTTGAGACTTGTCTTGCCCAGCGTGTTTGTTGTCTCGACATTTAAGTAATGATGTCAAATAAGATGTTTAAAATTACAAACATGAACCATGCGCAATGCACATAATAATAATAATAATAATAATAATAATAATAATAATAATAATAATAATAATAATAATAATAATAATAATAATAATAATAATAATAATAATAATAATAATAATAATAATAATAATAATAATAATAATAATAATAATAATAATAATAATAATAATAATAATAATAATAATAATAATAATAATAATAATAATAATAATAATAATAATAATAATAATAATAATAATAGCTAGCGTATTAGTTTTTCAATGTTTGAAAAGAAAACCTTGGTGTCATAAGAGGTAATATTGCCTTAAAATAGGTTTGTCCTTACTTGATATTGCATATCAGCTATGTTCCACCTAGATGGCGCAATAAGGCCAGTATTACTTTTGTTTTGTCATAGTCCTGATTGGAGTACTCATATTACTTTGTTACTTTTTTCCTCTTTTGTATTCTTGAAACAATTATGTAACTATAATATTCTCTCATTTGGATAATTTTGCTAGTACCTGTACATGTACCTGAAGGCACCTCGGACTTAATAAAGAAGACATCACATAAAAGACAGACAAGGTAAGTGAATGCTGATAGCTTTATTTGTAGTAAAGAAAAGAGGGAGTGCACATCACACAAAAGTTAAGGGACCAGGATGTGTATAGGCAGAATGAGTTGGAGGTTTAACTCTGTAGCAAAGGCTTGTTCATGGTCTGCTTGACCAGGCCAAAGATCAAAGGTCAGTGCCCAGACATGGTATTTGGTAAGTGCGCAGCTCAGAGGGCGTGGGCGTTAAGTTCAGTGAGGAGGTCACTGGGGAAATTGTGCTGTTCACTCATCTTCAGACTCATCGGCTGCACCACTGATGGTGTAGGTCTGCTCCTGGTGGTCTGTTTCTAGCACGTCACCCTCCTTTTTGACTGTTCTGTCAGGAAAAAACAAATCAAAAAATGTTTTGTGGATGCTTGTCTTAACCAACCTCTTTGATAACATAGGTTTAGACATCTGCCTCTGAATTAGGGTTATTTCTGACATTTTCAGGGTTAGAGTTGAAAATAGGAAAGGAACATTATTTAGGAGAAATGGAAATGATACCTGAGGGTACCTTTACCTAATGAGCACCGTTCTTCTCTCCGTGAGCTCCACAGCCTGATCCCCATAGGCATTGATGTTTCCATCATGTCCATATCCATCTGATCCATGCGTCACGTCAGTGCCACTGATGTCCCCTACTCCTCCACCAGCCTTTGCCTTCCCACCCTCAGTTCCTCCTGTTCCTCCACTGCCTCTTACTCCTTCTACACTACCCCCACCAAAGTCCATGCCACTGCCCCCAATGCCACCTGAGCCCATAGAGCCTGAGCCTGTTCCCATTCCCTCACCAACCATTCCTGCACCAATTCCACCACCAAGGCTTCCAAGGCCAGCACTTCCACCATAGATGCCACTTAAACCTCCAGCACCAAATCCAAGACTGTCAGGCTTGTCTGTCCCGATTCCCCTACTGACGAGGTCCTTTCCATCTATAACAGCACTCACTGTATCACTAACTCCATCAATACTTACAGGACTCATGCTGGTACCCCTATCTATTCCTCCTCCACTCCCCATTCGACCTGGAGCTGCACCGCTACCACTCATGGAGTCACCACCCATTCCTCCTCCCATTCCCATGCTACCAGCGCCTCCACCCCTACCCCCCATGGGGCCACCCCCCATTCCTCCAGCCATTCCCATGCTACCAGCACCTCCACCGCTACCACTCATTGAGGGCCCCCCCATTCCTCCTCCCATTCCCATGCCACCAGCACCTCCACCGCTACCACTCATGGAGCCACCACCCATTCCTCCAGCCATTCCCATGCTACCAGCACCTCCACCGCGACCACTCATTGAGGGCCCACCCATCCCCCCTCCCATTCCCATGCCACCAGCACCACTACCACCCATTCCCCCTCCCATTCCCATTCCACCAGCACCACTACCACCCATCCCTCCTCCCATTCCCATGCTACCAGCGCCTCCACCGCTACCACTCATTGAGGGCCCCCCCATTCCTCCTCCCATTCCCATGCCACCAGCCCCTCCACCGCTACCACTCATTGAGGGCCCCCCCATTCCTCCTCCCATTCCCATGCCACCAGCCCCTCCACCGCTACCACTCATTGAGGGCCCCCCCATTCCTCCTCCCATTCCCATGCCACCAGCGCGTCCACCAGTACCACTCATGGAGCCCCCACCCATTCCTCCTCCATAACTCATGCCTCCCATGCCAGTACCACTACCACCTATTGATCCACCACCCATTCCCCCTCCAAAACCCACGCCACCCATGTCAGTACCGCTACCACCTATTGATCCACCACCCATTCCTCCAGCTCCTCCCATGCTTCCTCCACCAAAGCCTGTCCCTGCACCAATAGCACTCATGGAGCAGGTAGCAAGAGACAGGCCTTGCAAACTCCCAGTCAGTCGCAAGTCCTCTCCTTCAACCAGTTTTCTGTTAAGAGAAAAACAAACGTCACTCCTGTTAAATTGCTGTAATACAGTATATCTGTCCAAATAATGACAATATTTCACCTGTAAGTTGTTATCTCAATCTCCAGAGACATCTTCATATTTAGAAGGTCTTGGTATTCCCGTAGGTGCAGTGCAATTTTTTCTTTTGTGGATTTCAATTCAAGCTGTAATGCCTCAATTCGGGCCTATCAAGTTCATAAAAGAAGTTGAGTCTGCATGCATGAAATTCTGAATAAATCTGCTATATGAATAATATATATATATATTATATCCATATAAATTTGTTGTGGCAATGAGTTTTGGGTCACTACAGCATTTAAATGAACACATACCTGCAGGTCTTCCAGTTCTTTCCGGTACTTTTCCTGCATTTCCCGGATTTGGGCTTCAAGAGCTTCATTCCTTGTTCTCAGAGAATCCAGTTCACTTCCTTTACTTTGAATCTGGAGATGTTGGAGCATAATTTTAGATACCATACTAATTCATGTATCGATTTTATGTCATTCACGTTATCACATTGATTTTAACATTTTTGTCACTCACGTCCTTTCTGGCACCCGCTATTTCGTCTCTGAAGTTTCTGACCCTATCAACATGCCCTGACGTTTTCTTTGTGAGATCTTCAAACTTGTTTTTATACCACGAGTCCATTTCCTAAGTTTCAGAAAAAGATTCAATTAATTACACCGGCATTTTGCTGTATCACTAAAACAATTAAAAGCAATGCAGAGTGATTTTTTTTTACCTGTAGATTTTTGGCTGCAATGTCGTCATATTGGTTTTGAATTTGTTTCAGTGCACCTGCCAGATCAGGCAGCGTGAATGTGCTTTGAACTGAAGCGTGAGCCGAGTAGATCTGTTTCATCAGCTCATCAATTTCCTAGAAGAAATCTTTAGTCATTAACCGTATATAAAAACAACAACAACAACAATAATAATAGTAATAATAATAATCATGAAGTTGGTATCTACCTGTTGATGCACCCGTTTAATGAATTCAATTTCAACTTCCAGTTGCTCCAGTTTCTTCTCCAAAGCAATACGGGAAGAAGTAGCTTGATCAACATCCTGAAATCACAGTATGAAGGGTTTTAATTGCGTCAAATGACAAATAAGAGTAAATAGTGGGATATTTGCAAACGAAATGGGACCTACTGGACGGAAATTTTCAATTTCCAGCTCAGATTTCTTTCTCAGCTCCACTGCCTCCTCATACTTGATTTTGATTGCCTCCAGTTGGGCAGCTGTGGAATCCTTAGCCGCCACGGAAATGTCCTGGAAATCATCAAGCCAAAAGTCATTTAGTCCTCTTTTACATCTTAAAGCTTGGGCAACGCTTTGTGAAAAAAGTACATGAACCTCTTTTGCATTGAATGAGCGTGTGTGCAATCTGAGCATAACACATGGATGAGGACAGATGAGGACACTCTATATGCCTGCCAGGAATTAACCTGTTATACAACTGCGTAACCTTAATATCAAGTTTGTGTCCTGTGTTCTTGCTAATGTACTGAGGTGTACACTTTTTAGCAATAAGAAACAAGCAGTAATACGGGAAATAACAAGTAGATTGAAGTATCCATCTTACTCGCTGCCTCCTCATCTGTTCAGCAATCCTTCGCAGCTCCCTCAGCTGCTCCTCATACAAGAGACGCAGACCTGATGGCTTCTCAAATCGGTTCTGGTAGGCCTCGATTTCTGCTTCAAGCAGTTTGTTCTGCTGCTCCAGTGACCGAACCTTTAAGTGCAAGACAACCAGAGCTGTGAATCAATTTAATTTTACTAACAGTGCTACACTGTTGCCTTATTTTAATTGCACAACGTATTTTCTCTGCAGGAAAAATATACTGATGCACTTATGCATAATATACAGTCTGAATGCCCTCACCTTGTCAATGTACACAGCCAGTCTGTCGTTGAGAATAACCATCTCCTGTCTTTCACCTGTACGTATGTTCATGAACGCCTTGTTCTCAGCTGAGGCCACATCCAGGTCTATAGGAGTCTCTCCACTGGGTCCTACACAGACCATGGCTCCTGCACCAACACTGAAGATATGTACCAACATCAACCCTGAAGCCATGGCACATATATCCTTACCATTTCGGTAGGGGATCATTCAGTCTCAGCTTACCCTGTTCCAAGCATACGAGAACGGCGTACGGCTGAGCCGGTTCTTCTTCCCACTGACTCCACACGGATGATGGCAGGCCCCCCTCTGCAAGTGTAGCCAGTAGAGGCACGACGTGCATCTCTCCTGGTAGGGGAAGGGCTGGACACCCTGACCTGTTGCGAAAAGCTGCTGCTGTCCTCAAAGTGACGTCTGTAGGACGAGATCCGTTCTGGGCTGCGGCTCATCGTGGCTGCAGGAACTGTGCTTACTTGGATTCTCTGATGAGATACTCAACCTCTGTGTGCACTGCTCCAAAGTCTGTTTGCACTGACTGCCACTCAGCCATACAGGAGGTTTTATACCTCCTTTTACTGTCATGGTCCTTCCCTGTTTGAGACAACCCAGTCCATGAGACAGCACCTGTGGAATCTTGAACCGCTGCACCAAAACAGGCTTTGAGCTGTTGTTGGAACATTTGTCAGCAGCCTGTGAGAAGCAGGTCTATGTTGGGATCATAGCTAATCATATTGGAGTAGGAAGCAGGCATTAGCCTTTGTTTCTAAGTTAGACAGGTCGCTGGTGTAGATAATATTGTCACAGATAGCACGTTGATTTCCATTAATGATACGCAATGGCCACATATTTTAACATTTGGGACACAAATAACTTAGCAATCATATTAAGAACTATAGAAATATAGACTGTAATTAATATTCAATGTCCAAATAACATTTTGTAAATCTTTGGGTGTAATACTTGGCCCTAGTTGGAATGCACTGAATTTTACTTACTGCATGTACTGGCCTAAAGAACTGAGCCACAGAAAGTTATAGGAGATCCAGTGATTCATACTGAACCCTGATTGACTTTTTAATTCTTTTCAGGTCCATGGAGAAAGGTGGAGTCATCCTGGACTGTCTATCTAGCCAGTCTATAGGGCCACATATAGAGTAAAACAATATATATCACCCTCACACTTAAACCTATGGCCAATTTAGAGTAAACTGGAACTTACTGCACTTGTGAGTACCTGAAAAAAAATCCTTGCACATTTGATAACATCAGTCACCACACAGGATTACATTTTTTTGCTGTATGGAAAGAGCACTAACCACTCCTCACACCCATGGTTTGTTTTAGCCTACTAAAAATCAAATATTTAGAGAAATAAATATAAACTGCTTTATGCAGAAATATGGCGGCAAGAGTAATGAAAATAAGGTGAGGGGTTGTAGTCTGGAGATTACGGTTGACATGACACAGTGATACAGGGCAAGAAATCTGAGGTCTTTCTTCACAGCTACAGAGTCACTTGGTCAAGGGTCGGCAAACGCTGTCATTTTGCAGTAAAAATTGACAGACAGCGACAGTGAACCTGAAAGAAACCACAAACACAGGCACACACAAAGTGTGACACACAAGAGCAGACACGCACAAACACGAAGCACTGAAGATGGTATTTTTGATTTATTGATCTTATGAACTGTGTGTTAATGGATTTAGTGAGTGTCTCTTTGCCACTGACCTCAGATCTTGCAGCAGCATGGGACTTTTTGACCGAGGTGGTATGTTCTATTTGTGAGCAATCTGTAGACTCCAGTACTTTGTGTGTAATCTTCTCTGGACTCGTGCCAATGCTGCCTACCATAGCTCACCCTGCTCTGTTTCCATTATTACAGTGGATATGATAGTATTTGAGATTAAAGTTAAAAGGCTCACATTCTAAGATGACCACATGTAAGCAGAAGTAGTTGACATTAGATTGGATGGAACTTTATTAATCTTTTTGAATTACAGCAAGAAGAGGACTTGTTCACTGTTTTTTAATTTCTTTAATTTAATTTAAATAGGTAATATACATAACATCCAAAAAGGTATTTCAAAACAAATGCACAATACTGAAAATACTACATATTGTATTTTTATATATTGTATACAGTATGTCATAATGTGAATTGCTTGCATGTATTGTGTGCTTTCTGCCTTCTTACATTATGACTAGGGGACTACAGATGAAAACTAGCCTTCTGGCTAACTCTGGCTTTTTTAACCATGTGTAATCATGTGTTTTATGAAATTGCACTGTCCTCTTTTAAATAAACTAAATTAAACTACTTTTGGCTTAGGCAATCATCAAGTGGCACCACCGTGGAAGTTTGCATAGTGATTTACATCCATCCATCCATTTTCATCCGCTTTTCCGTTACCGGGTCGCAAGGGCAGCAGTTGCCACCCAAATCACTCTGCTTCGTACCAACCCCCCTGAACCTTCCTGTGGGTGGTGAGTCCACCGGAAGGTACCAACTGCCCTAACCGTGATTCAAACTTGCCCAAGAGGTGAACCCTGGGGTTCTACACCAATGACAGAGACATTGCCTCTGGGTCACTGCATAGTGATTTGGGACTTCTTATACCAGACCAGATAAGAGACTAGAGTTGAACCCCCCTTCTTTGAAGTATTTATTTGTGTATTAAGTTACTACAGTCATCACAGACATTTTACTGTGTCTTAACCTTGTGAGGCAGTCAGGTCACCAATAATAAGATCAAAAAGCTAATTATAAATATATGCTGACATTTAAAGTGCTGATGAAATTTGGACTTTCAGCTCATGGGAACGAGTAAATAAGACACAAGGTCAGAGCCACGGTCGGCATTCTTCCCAGTTCAAAACAAACACTTTCATTATCATGGATGACAAAGTGACTTGTTAATGTTCCGTAGAGCGTAAGTGGCAAATTCAGTCTGAGAAACTGTGGGTATTAGACTGTGACCTTCAATACAGTAGATCATCTTAGTTGCAGTGACTGTCACTCGCCTACTAATACCAGCAAGGGAGTGCCCTCAGTTATTCAAGTTAATCAAACAATCTATGTTGTCACAGAGACGAATAATTAAAAATCAGATAGATATTCAAAACAACAATTTTATTTGTCCGCTGTTGTCAGTCAACAAAACAACATGATTTATTATTTACAATACATTATATAGAGCTCTTCATTAAGGGAATTTCACACTGTAGCTATTGCATAATTAGTCAAAAAAGGAGCAAAAGGCCCATATTTAATTACATTGCAAAATAATTTAGCAGAATATCAGTCTGTAACCTGAGTGCATTTCTCAATATTTATAAGTCTTCCCTCCTGATGTGCTGAGATCTCTCTAAAAACTCCGTGGTCACAATTCCTAAATCATTTTCAAGTCTCCATGTTTAACACACACGACTTTTGTATTTAATTTTATAACCTAAAAACATGTCTCTTCTATTCCAGGATCAGATTATTCTCTCATTCTTTTCCCAGTCTTTCCATCCACCAGAGTAATGCTGGACTCTGAAATTAAACAGAAGAAACACAAGCTGTTAGAAAGTTGGAAACAACTACATTGGTATTAGTGGGTCACTGAAAAGGTTTAAACCTGTGCATCTAATGTTAATTCGAAACTGTGACATGTCTCACTCTTTGTATCCCAGCGAAGCCGCTGCATTGACTGCACTCTTGCTGCGAATTCCTGCCAGACATGTAAACACAACAATGTCTGTCTGCTCTGGCATTTCTCCACCATACTTTTCCTTGAACTCTTCTGGACACAGCTGGAGAGCAGAGTTTACCTGTGCCACTGCCAAGACAAACAGACACAGGAGGATTCGATAATAACAAATAATAAGGGTTTTATTAGATATAAAATGCATAAAAACACCTTTTTACTATATATAAAATGTTTTCAGGGCATTTGAGTTTGTACACTGTCAAGGGGCACTAGGACCCCACAAGAACACCACTACTTCACCTTGTGCTGCTGTAAAGAAGTGCTTCTGTTGACAATGTCATGTGGTACTTAACTCAAATCCAGATCCAAGTTAACCATTTTATTTGTTAAACATCTGTAGCACCTTCTGCAAGGAAGAAGGGTGGTGCTACATGCTGTTTGTGTACCATCACTGTTAAAACCCAACACTTAGGTTGTTTTTTAAATTATACTTCAAACAGTTTGATTAGGATCTGTTTGTTATAAATAAAAAAACAAAAAGTAATGACTACCAGTGACTCACTTGGGACGTTGATAGATCCTGGGATGAAGCCAAACTCCCTCAGCTCCCAGGGTTCTCGGACATCGATGACCACAGCCTTCCCTTTGGCCAGCAACTGCTTCAGTTCCTCATAGGTCACATTGTTGTTCGATGGATCTGAACTAAACCCTCTTCTGAGCTGTAACTCTGTGTATAAACGCAATAAAATTCACACACTTGCCTTTCGATTATCTCCAGTGAATAGGTAGAACAGTGTTAAACGTAAAACTCACTATTGTGTTCGGGACGAACAGCTCTCAGACTCGACTCCAAGCCTCGTCCTCCAGGAACAAAAACTAGAGTCTGGAGGTTACCAGACCACAGTGTTCTCGGAACCACGCGTGCAAATCTCAAACACCTCCATATTGAAGCCATGTGTTATTTAATCACCCTACGACGTTCAATGCAAAAATGCAACCTCAAAGGAGATACGTGTTACAAAAGTCAATACATGGCTGCAGCTCCCAACTGCCACGCGCATGCGCAATATTACGACTCGCGAAAAGGACAAAATACTTTTGTATGTCGAACTAAAAAATAAACTACACAAAACATACATAAAATTGTAATATTGTTTATTGGTGAAACAAATAACATTGCTAAGTAATTTGTTACTGATAGGAATATTAGATATGGCACGAAGAGCTACGAGTGCGTATGATCCATTTATGGACAAAACAATGATTAAATATGCACACCGGAGGAAGTGCATTGACATAACAATGTATGTTTTGTATTATATTGTCATTACGTTATTTATTCAGCATGAATTTATGACAAAGTATTGCAAGAAGTTAAATGATTTGCATGGGGGATATTTGAACCCATAGAGATTTGATTTATTTTACGCCAAATTTATTTTTTATATCTACAACTCGACAGAATAAATTAAAATTATTAATTGAACACATCTTTTGAAAATCAGACCGAGAGAGAAAATGTAGACTGAAACTGTTAGTAAATACCAATTGTCCATGAACGCAACACAAAGCTAGTCTGAGCTTCCGTACTGCGTCACATGTACATTTGCGTTTCTAGCACATTGCTAGTATGTGCTACAGATTTCCTGATATGTAGCAAAAAGTAAATAATCGACGAGACATTATTAGTTTATTAACGATTTTTTTTCTGGTAAAAACCCTGACACGCCTGCGTTCTGGATGGATACAACCTACGGTTTAATGTTTAAATCGCGCTGACATGTTTATGTAGGTAGCCAACTCGCTAGCCAGGAAGAGTTGACAGCTCACTGTTGGCTTCTGGTGATCTTACACAGTCAACAGGAGCAGGACTAAACAGGTGAGTAGGGGGTGTTTCAGAATTTAGAAACGCAATAGTTGATTATAGAGTTCCACTTAATTATTTACTTTAAATTCATTTAACTAGCTGTTATTGTATATTAGGCCTGTTAATCTTCCATTGACTATTGATTATAATCCTAAATACTATATCCCCTTTTTCAAATATCTTAAAATAAGTGCTAAGCTATAGTATCTATAAATTACCATGTAAAGCTCCACACGTTCTATTGCTACCGACCTACAATGATATACCAGACCTTCATCCCATTGAAATACTGTATCTTGGGTTCAAATGGTCACGCCGAGAAAACCATTAGGGGTTACTAGTTGAAGTAAATAGGATCAATGTGGTAGGTAGTGTTGTTGTTAACACACTCATTCAACTTTTAGCTTTACATTCGTTGAGGTAACACTTGAGTCTGTTTTCCTTACAAAAAGTTAATCGTAGGCAAAGGTTTTAAATGTATCCACCTTAATTTATAGGGTACATAGAAAAATTGACACGTTCTGCTGTAACTGATTATATTACCTCACGCTGATTGATTGCTAAGCTTTTATTTTAAAAGAAAGGACCCAGCAAGTACAATGAGAGATGTAACATTTGGGTGGACACCTTGTGATAGGCTTTATACATTGAACCTGGCTTCTATGTCTGTTTTGTAGGTAATTTATGGTGGTGCAACAAACCTTTAATCAAACTGCCTAGAACATTGTTATTCCTCGTTCAAAGAAACTGTTTATATATAAAGTAAAATTTATGTTCCTATGCTTAGTGCTCCAGATGCGGCTTAAAGATCCTTTTTCTTTAAAAGCCGCCGATATGACTAAGCGGACAAGCAAACCAAGAAAACCTCGAGATGAGGAGTCATCGGATGAAGTCAGTGGTAGGTTGGTTCCAAATTGTCGTCACTCACAAAGGTAATTTAACACAAAATGTACACAACTTAAGGTTGATAACACATATTTGTGTTTTTCTATCGAATTAGGTTTGACTTGTCAGCATGTGAGTAAAGCAGTGGATCTTAGCTCAGTGAAGAAGTCGGTGCTCTCCAGTGTGTGGTTGGTATGCTCCGATTGCCTAAAAGAGAGGACGATGATTGATGGAGAGCCAGCAGCATCACATGACATTCTAGTGTGCTTAAAATGTGGTTTCCAGGTAAGATGTGTTTAACAGTAAAACACAATATACATACTGTAGGTTAATAAAAACTATAGATAAAGCATTGTTGATGTCCTCCAGAGTTAATAACCTGCACTAATCTCGATTCCTCCAAAATAATTTTTATTTCAAATAATATTTTCTTTAATAATGTCTTATCTTAATAACATTTTTGAATAATCATCATCGTCTTCATTACCTTACAGGGCTGTAACCATACTGGGATCCAGCATGCTGTGAAACACTACCAAACGTTCCATCCAGAGTCCCACTGCATCACCATTAGTTTAGGCACATGGAAAGCCTGGTGAGAATAATAAGAACTGCAATCACTTTGAACTGTGTTAATAAAAAAAAGCCAAAGATGTGTTAACTAGCAGCACGAGTGAACATGCTCCATTCAGTGTCAAGACACGACCCGTGTGGGTTTACATAGAAAACTCAGCACAGGCAGCAGTAGGGATGCGATAACCGATAACTCCCTGTTTCCTAAGGCCAATAACGATAACATACCTGGAGATATGGAAGACGTCTGTGTTAGGACATGCACAGAGCAAAATGATGGCATTTGTCAATTATTATAATGTAACTTAACAGTATTTAAACCCTAACTAAACACTGTTTACTGTGTGAGATGTACAGTATGTAGTGTTCTTGGCTTTAGTTGAAACACTTCGCTAAGTCAGTTTAAGTTTCTTTCTTTGTCTTCATTGTATCTACAAATAATCATGATTTAATTCATTTTTTATCCATTGTGATACTTAAAAGTGACAATTTAACTAAACAATCTAACTAGAAAAGGAGTTGTCATGTCAACTAACGATTGCCTTCAATGTTACTATCCTAAAGGCTTTTCAGTGCTGCAGGAACCTGAAGTCTTTTTCTTTCTCTCTGTGGCCTACTCCCTTTGCAACAGGTGTTTTGAATGTAACGAGGAGCTCTCCACTCACTGCAACAAGAAAGCTTTGGCTCAGTCCCTGGACTTTTTACAAAAGCACTCAGTCAAGGCAACCTCAGGTAAGGTGCAGAAGAAGACCAGACTGCCTACTGCTGCTGCTGAAGTTAAGCTTTTATTAAGACTTGGGCTTCACAAATTAATAATATAAATTAAACACATTATTCCTGTAAATTAATAAAAATAATATATATGGTAGGATTTTAGTTATTCTTTTGCATAATATTCTTGACATTTTTTCATATGAATAACTTCATCATTTGAAGTTATCTCTCTGGTCTCTCTGTTCCAACATTAACAGAAAAAAGGTTTTAGTTGCATTTGGAAATGCCAATTTACTTTGATTAATCGTTATATATTAGGGTTGTGATTATTAATGATCAATCGTGATTGTTCTGGTTCTATAAAGATGTATTTTCTTTAAACAAATTAAAGTAAAAAAAACTATTGGAAAGATGGAGAAATGGGAAAAGTTACATGAAGTTTTGTGTCGGTTCCATGACAAATGAATGACATGACATGATATGACAGACTATGAACTTAAAAACACTGCATAGTGCAGCTAAAACATCACTTCAGTACACATTGCCCAAATAATGACCAACAATACCTCTGCTCCCCCTGGTGGTACTGGTGCTCTCTTGAATTCCTACACTCGTCACATTATAGGATTGAAAAAATGTCAGTTTTATGAATGCAATGCATTTTACTTTTACTAGGGATTTTACTTCCTGTTTGCAGTCTTGTTTTGGTTTTTATCATACTCCTGAGCTTTTCTCCATAACTCTGTCAAACATAAATGTACTGTGTAACACCTTCCCTTCTCTGTACACTCACCAACTGTTATTCCCTGTATAATACCTCTCTGGGTGATACAGTATTTGGGTGGATATCTGTTGCCAAGCGTCATGACTTTTACTCTTCAGATTAGCTTCTTGTCCTTGTTAATTTCCAGCCACTCAGACCCGGTCAAGCTGCTCTATCCCTAATCTCTCAGCTATGGCTGCTGAAATTGTAGGTTATCTGTCGCAGTAATCCCCCGCCCTCACATTCACCCTTACCCTCACCCTGCCCACTGCATGACTGCACACATTAGAGGAATTAGGCGCTTGAGTGATGTCTCCCGGCTGGGTTTCCCTGAAGAACAAGCGCAGCTGCGTGCAGTTCAGACTTGTTCCTGTTGTCCTTTGTCTCTCCATCACTATCTCTTTCTGTCCCCTGCATCCTCCTCTGCTGGGCGGCTGGATGTCTCAACACCTCTGTGCCTGTGCGCTGCACTAGTGGGAGCAAGAATCCTCAACAAGTCAGAGATACTTTACTTTTTAACAGCTGGAGAACACTAAATTTCTGTGGACATGCAAAGGCAGATGCAAATATTTTCTTATTCAAGTACACTGTAGGCCCTGTTTACACTTATTAGCTTCAGTAATACATGTCCTTGAATTGCTGTGGTAAGGTGCATTTTTATGAAATAGAGCACAATCACTTCTGGGAACAGAATATACCAAATGTGATTACATTTCATTTATCAAGAACATCTCATACCTGAGGATTCTCACATTTCTTTATTAAGTTAGATGGACAACCACAACCTTATTAATCTGAAAAGTGAAAGCTTGGAGAAATCACTCTCACACACTTTTACTGTCTTTTTTAAATGGAATTTCTCAATTTTCTATTCTAATCTCTGTATGTGACAGGATTATGTATGTACTCTGGGATACCAGCTAATACTACAGACAAGCACGGTGAATGGTATGTTGTATGTGCATTTACTCTATCCACGTTGCTAACCAAGAGTCCATTGTTGGGGGAGAGCAATCAGACAAGTGGGACAAACTCCATTGACAGTACATCTTTCTCTTTTGCCTCTTTAAATTACCTGTCACCTTTCCTGCCACCCAACTCTTCTGCACTGGTTGACCAAACGTGTGTGGAAGCGTGCAGCCTCTGTCCCAGCAGAATAGGCAGTTGTTGTCTGTGGAAGAGCTTGAGAAATTGCATTTTTTGCTCGAAGGCCAGATTTTATTTTTCAGCAAATACTGCTGTTGTGCTGTTTTCTTTTTCTATAGAACTGCAGCACAAAAGAGCCCCAGCAAGATTTTCTTTTTTTTTCAGAATCCATAATAATTTGTACAACAACAGCTCAGGAGATAAAGAAAGTCGATTAACTGTGCTCTCTTACCATCAAGGCCTTCAGCTCAAGTACCAGAGTCCCAGTAAAAAGCTAATTGACCTCAGAGAGCTCGACTCCAGCTTGTAACACAGCTGTGGAGTCTTTGTGGAGCAAATTAAAATGTAGCTGCTGAATAGCAATCAGGGCTTGTTTCTCCCAATCTGTCAATTCTTACTATCTTTTTGTTACATATGGATACATGTCAGGATTTGGTCATATTGTTACCTCTGTTTTAATGCTGAAAGGTTTCCTCTATTTATTTGTTTATATTTTTTTGTTTGTTTTAAATCACTGATAATTAACCTATAAATATGACCTCCTAGACATTTAAATATTTTTACAGTCAAAATAATTTAACACACAAAAATTCCAGTTAATGTGAATGACCGTACAGGCTCAGGGATACAAATCATGCTTCAGGTCACAGGGTTAATACAATGAGTAATGGTGATAGAAAGACCTTAAGACAACATTTGAACTCATACTTAAACTCATACTCATAATTAAATTCAGACAGTTTATAAAGTGTGCCTCTTGTCATTATATAATATTAAAGTTAAGGGTGACTTGATTCTGTTTCTCATCAGGAATTAACAAGTAATTGTTGTCTTTTCAACCCAGGAAAATTCTTTATGTTACTGCATGAACCAAACTTTTTTTCTTTTTTACAAATACACATCCTGAAAAATCTGTGGTACAGATCAGTGATGTTTGGATCCTTGGAAACTGTTGGTTTTGGGAGATTATGTTGTTGCTAGGGATGGCTTGATACAACTTTCTCATGTCTAATACTGATACTGCGACTTGGAGTATCTGCCCTTACTGCTATCATGCTGTAGTCTGCAATTGCTGACAGAATAGTGCCCCTTTTTATGGTATGTCGTGCAGTTAAGTTGAGAAATTGGACTTAGGCATCAGATCGGACAGACGTTAGTTGTTTTTTTCATTGAACAGTTCTGTATCCTACAATTCCATTTTATTTTAGTAACATTGGGTATACTGTCATTTCTTAGCTCAGTGATAAACTGATAAGCTGCTTGTCCCCTGGTGGTGCTTTTATGGAGGTAATCAAGGGTAATTTTTTTTTTCTCCCACCACCGCACATGAAAGTAGGCCAGAGAGTGGGCATTAAAGGCTGTGTGTGTGTGAGAGAGAGAGAGACTCATCAGAAAGTAACATGGTACTGGCTTATCTTGGCCTCAGATGGCAAAGAAACAGGCTTTTCATGCCCTGCAGTCATGACACATTAGCAAATTAAGAAGTCATTTGGTGTTTCCCGGCATTCTTCTTCCTCTTCACTGCCTGGTCCGCTTGAAGAGAGCTGCCCTTGACCAACCATACAACTGCAATGCCAACTGGCCTGAAGATTTGCCGAATCCTTAGTTTGACTGTGTCAGGCATTATCCTGAAAAGAAAAATGTTTTTAAACATTTTCAACTGTCTTAAATAATATATACACACAAAACCATACATAAACTTGTTGTTTATGTTTCCTAGTCTAACCTTTGTGTGAAAAATAGCACGATGTGCAAGAAGTGTTGGTGTACTGTACATGCATGTGAGTGAGCCTGAGCACCGTGATGGTTTCCAGTACCCTAGGGAAAGTATTCACAGCGTCACTGCTGCCCACACTCGGTGGCTGAGCAAGAAAGGGCCAGGTGGTGGTGCTGAGTGCAGCACAGTCAAGCGTGGTCTCGGCGCATGCTGACATTTGCCTTGGCCGACTGCTGCAGGGAGAGCAAAAATCTGCTTTTCCATATGCTTATGTTCATTGCAACCCTTCCCTCCACCCACTGCTGCCTTCCATCACTCTCCTCTTCTTCCCTCTCTCCCCCGACATAACCAGATGGCTCCCTGAACATTGTTTACCTTGGGTAAAAGTCCCAGATGCAAACTTAGTACATTACAGGGTTTGGATCTGAATTCCTGAACATTTAGGAGACTTAAACAGACTCCCATATTTTTCAGCGGTCTGTTGGTCACAGTCCTTTTTTTTAGAGTTGTTCAAAAATGTCATTGTGTTTGAATAATGTAAAGTATATTCAATGAAGAAAACTAAATCTAACAGTTATCTTCAACATCAGTAGATTTTGTGCTTTGGGGCACCCCACTAAGAGGGACACTCCAATGGACCTAATAAACAATATTGATTCAAAACCTTCAGACAGACAATGTTAAACAGGACTATTAGTAGAGTAGTTGGGTACATTTTTTTCTCTCTCAGGGAAATTGTACAAAATTGCCCAGGTCTTACATTATAAATCCAAAAGCACCTATTTAATACTGGTGAAAATGCACAAATTTATATCTTCATAGATTTACACCAAATTAAATCAAGAGAACTTTACTATTAATTGACATTGGGAGCTCCTTTATCACTGAATGAAGGCTGGAAGCATTAAGTTCCACTAAAGGGAGCATAACAACAACATGTCAGCTTGGCAAGCTGAACTCTGCCCCTATCTTAAAAGTCACAAAAATAAAAATTGACACAAAGGATGCAACTGCTTTTGAATTGAAAATGTGTAAAAGCAAGGTCATTAATGTATTAAAAAGCTCCAGGTCCAAAGTTACAGGACCATTTCAGATACTCATTGTGACAATAATTTGGTCCAGTGGTGTGTAGATTTAAAAAGAATATGCATAAACAAACTTCTGCTGCATTCAGCAGTTTGAATGCAAAATATATATGGTTTGTACAGAAGCACATTCAGTTGACAAAGGACATAAATACTGACTTCTGTGCTTCCTGCAGACTCTCAGTCTGACACCCTTATCGTCTAACCATCTGTGACATAGTTGCTACGTAAGGTGAGTTTTCATTGGTGATTAGAAGAAACAGCTGGCTCTGTGGAGCCATCTTTCTAACTCCGGCCCCACCCCTCTCTCACAAACTAGTGAAAACTTCTGCAGCTGTTATCTGCTTCTCGAAATGACCCAGCTTTTCTCCAGCTGCCATCACATCCGTTTGCCCATCCCCAAGTTCCATTCAAGGTTATATTATTTCATTTTCTGTTCCTATCTGCATTCCCAATACAGGGAAGTGATTTTGTTTTCTGTCTGCAAGGCCAGCTTTTAGTCACAGTCTACATGAACTTGGTCTCAAAGAAATTGTTAAAGTGGACACTGGTTGAGTCTTCATGTCCTTGTATTTATTAATCCATTATTGCCAAAATAATTTCACCATACATCCCATTTACTTGTTTACTGCTGTTTATTCAGCAGCGTCTCCCAAGATCATCAAGCTGCGAGAGGAATCATCAGATTATTCCGAATCATCCAAAGGCAAAAGTCCAGCCATCAGCAATACGTTGGTTCCTGTGAAAGGCATCATTAACCTCGGTAACACCTGCTTCTTCAATGCTGTCATGCAGGTATGTTCTACAGTCACTTCAGGTATAATAGTTTATTATACTTGTGATATTCAACAACAGAAATAACACAGTTTCCGAACATGGAAACACTTTGGCGGAGAGTGGTTTCTAAATAAATGACAATGATGAATGCTGTAACAAAACTTGCGAGCCATTGCTCTCATGTGGTATTATGCATTTCACCCATATTTAAGATCATAATATCTGAAGTTGATCTCCGTGGGCACTGATTATAACCTACTTACAAGTTATTGCTACAGTTACAGGGATGTTCTTGCAGCCTAATGAATCACCAGGGTTTGTATTCTAACTCCACATTGTGCTACCTATGCATAAACACTTGTTACTATTACCCTGCCCAATGGTAACTAAATTATCCTCCAACAATGACTGTAAACGGGTTAGACCTTGGGATCATTTTGAAGTATTTTCATTGCAGCAGTAAATGTGGCTCTGCCTTGGACACATTCACCTGTCTTTGCCTGAGTGGCTCTCAGTTGGTGCAGAGCATGTTCACCATACAGCATCACCATAGAGCCTCCCTAGTCTTTCTCTGGTCGTGTCATGGTGACTGCAAACAGACATGCTTCTAGAACAATGAGGCTGTTTTTTCCACCACCATTTTGTTAATCACCCTCAGGGCCTTCCTCATTGATTGAAATTCGAGTGAGCAAGCTTTATGTCCTCTTTTCTCACCCTCACCCTTTCCGTTTGTATTGTTTCCTTGAAAATTGCAATCTTTCTGGTAAAAGAAAAACATAATAGTCAAAGGATGAGCTGTGTCTGCATCCACAATGCCGGCTCCTTTGTGTGTTTTCCATAGCAACTGTCTTCTTTGCCAAGATGTATAAAAACAAATATTTTGTGAAAGGAATTGAAAGGATTCTTTGGTATCATTCAGAAACTATGACCGCAGCTTCCTTATCAAGGATCTTCTACACTTGATAAGGAAGCTCACAGATCATTGATTATTTCGATAACAGAAACAACTCATCACCTGTTTCCTAAGCCCCAGCTTAGTGAAATAATCAAACCTGATTTTGCTAAGATGTTAATTGAGTTAAATGTGAGTTGTTTTTAGTTGAGTCAATATTCATGCCTATACTGCAGGACATGCAATATTTTTAAAAAGAGACAAAGAAGTTTGATTTCCTGTGGTTAGAAATGTCTTTTTATTACAAAATAGAAAATCTAGACTCTTGAACAGCTTTAATGTTGGTAGTTAGATTTATATATATACTGTTTATACATATATATAGCACTTTGTGCTGTAAAGATATGGATCTGTCTTTTAAATACAAAGTGTATTATACACATCTTTCAAGTTACAGTCATGGGACGGATGCATGCATGTTATTTGACTGTTTCTTATGTATCCTTGGTCTTGCAGAACTTGGCCCAGACACACATGCTGATTGAACTCATCCAAGAAGTTAAGGAGAAAGGATACAAAATAAGGATTTGTCCCTCACTGGAGTCAAATCTGGTACAAATCAAATAATAATTCAATTGTATTTAAAATAACTAATATAGTCAACGCCTCTCAGTTTCTGTGAATTAACCCTCTGTGGGATAAGAATCCTATCTTGTTGATCAATGCAGTTAATCTGTAAATGACAAATGGGTTAGTTTTGTGATTTAGGATTCTATTTAACATCTGTGCAGTGACCGAACTGAAAATATGAAATTATACTGGAATTAAATAATTATTTTACTCTAGCATTTTAAGTCAGGTCAGTTAATTAAGTAAATTCATGCTTTGTCATACAGTTTTAAACAGGATCTTTTAAATATCATAGAGTATTAATGTGATACCAACTGTATGTCTTTGCATAAAGTTCATCAGTAGTACAAATATGATGTTATATATGGGATCGTGCTTTAATTCTGTGCTGCTTCTATGATTACTGAAACATTATGAGAATCTTAAACTTGAGCTTTTGTGCCCAACCAATACATTATCATTTGAGTTGTTTCATTGTTGTATGAGGAGGAATAAGGTTAAAAATGACCCTCAAAGTGCTGGAATTTAACCTTGTTTGAATAATTAATTTAATTGTTCTACTCGTCGTTCCATCTTCCAGAATCCACTCATGGTGTCGCTGCCGATTCCCGAGTCTCTGACAGCTGCCATGTTTCTCTTCCTCCAGAGCATGAAAGAACCAGGCAAAGGCCAAGTCAATCCCAAGATCCTCTTTAATCAGCTCTGTCAAAAGTAAGATGTTTTTATACACATGTCTTCTCATCTATGTTGTGAAGCAAGTTTTAGCCTTGTATACAAATATTTTACATTAGTGTGATAACTGCCACGTGATGTATTGCATGTACAACATATATGCACAGTTGCCCTGAAATTAGCTTTTAGTAGCTATTCCTGTATATTTGATAAAATAAAGGCTGTCCTTAATGATGAGTTAGTTGCTGTAACGTTCATTAACCGTAGCCATTGTTTGTTTGTTTGTTTTTTTATTTTATTTAATTTTCACTTAATATATATGCATATTTAACATTAAAATACTTTATTTTAGTTATAGAAGGAACTAGAACTTGTATCCTGCTTTCGCCCCCTCACTACAGTCGTGATCACTTTAACCTGCCAGACCCAGGTAGCACCTGGTCACAGCTAAATGCCTTTCATGCAGTTTCAGGTCAACATACAGCAGTGGACCACTGTAAATACCAAGCAGCATCAGCTGTGCAGCTTTAGCCTTTTTTGCTACTTATAATGTTGAACCACCTGTGTCACATTTGATCTCAAAATCCCTCTAACAAACAGAGCATAAGATTGTGAACTGAGCAGTTGAGCTAATATTCCTTCTTTTAATGAATGTTTGGTTCAGTGAGTACTTGTTTTACATGCTGCACTGCTGGTTGGGTTCATGTTGTGTTTAGAGGTGGAGGTGGTGAGTGTTGTGCACTGTGTAGCCGTGCAGGTGGGTGACCAGGGTGTTAAACGTTGGATGACTGAATACATTTCTGACTTTAACAGAATTCTGGTACCTAGCTTTCGTCAGGTGTAGCGTGTGTGTGTGTGTGTGTGTGTGTGTGTGTGTACTTGCATGTGTGTGTGGATTGCCAGTTCACCTGACATTACTTTATCTACAGAACATGTAGCAATTGTTTAGTCAAACAGCAAAAAAACACACATACACACACACACACACACCACTACACATGCACGTCAATTAGGGATAGTCCATTTCACAACTTTGAACCTCATGATATAACCGCATTAAAGGTCAAGTTTTTTTCCTGTAGTAAGGTGTTTTGAATTAAAAATTCAATTTAATATTTTAGCTGACAAACTTAGAAAACATCCACCAAAACCTCAGTCTTTACATGCAACGATGGCCTCAGTTTGTTACAATGTTTCCAGCAGCCATACAGTTATGACTTATTTGTTGTGGGTACCCTCTGTCCATGGTTTGCAGTTAGGATTAGAATCAGCACCTGGTTAGGTTAAGGTTTAAGATTAAGCTTAAATTTGTATTGGTTAAAGAGGTAGGGAATGCATTATTTCTGTGTGAAGTACTCACGACTCATGAAACCCAGACTGGGTGTGTGGCTGTATCTATATGAAATGACCTGCTGCCCCTGGTTAAGAAAAACCCCTGGTGAAAAACGGTACACAGTTGAAAAGTGTATTCAAAGGTAATAGGAAGAAGACTGTATGATTAATTGTGCTCTCTTTTAACAAAGTGCATGTTATGGTATGTCCGTATATTTGAAAAGAAGGTCCTGGTTACTTCAGTGCATTCCACTACAATTTCAAGGTCAGTCACAGTGTCCAGAATCACAGCTGCATTCTGAACCAGCCTAAACCATTTATATGTTTTTTCATTCAGTAAAGTCGGAAGCTTTGAGTTGGAATAACGGGGTCAACAACTGCCCCTGTTTACTAAGACACTTGCTCCCATCACACTGACCTCTCTGATGGCTGGGCTCTGTTAATGCAGCCTGCCATCTTCACTTGTCACTGCTTGCTCTTGTCTAGAGGGTTGTGCCTGTCCTTGACCTGAAGAACAGCACTTTTCAATTTCTCTTGGTTCCTTATCAATGGCTTTGTGTTGACGGACGGGCTATTAAAACCTTTTTGGTAGGGATCAGGGTCATTTTGAGTGGTTGGAGTGTTTTTCTATATCCACATGCATTTTTTCATGTGTTTGACCTCAACCAGCTGAATAATCCACTGCCCACCTATTCTTTGTTACCTTCAGGTATAAATGACATATTCTGGGTGGGTGTTGGTGTGCTCTGCTATTGCAAACACACAGTATGTGGGTGATGTGGTCAGCAGCACTTGTGGTGGCAGTCTGAATAGAATGTAATTAAAAACAGAATAAAATGTGTTTTCACTCAGAAACAGGGACTAGTAACATTTCAATACCAACAACCTCATACAGGTTTCCTAGTATTTTGTTTGTCCCAAGCTTTATTTACTACCATTTCCAAAGCAAGAACACATTGAGTTGTTATTATTAAAATAGATACAAACTCTTATTTTCCTATACTACATCCTTTTTAAGAGGTAATTACATTTTTAGAACAGGTACAGGCATTGAATATTTTAACAAAAAATGAAGTCTAGCCTTGCTCACCTCTGTATCAATGAATTTTGTATCAATACTCACAAGCCATCATCTTTTAAAACCTTCAAAAAGCACTGTGATGACTCTAACAGCTCTGATATATAGAACTTACAAAACAACAAAAAACAACCAAGACCTCTCAATACACACCTGAATGAACAATAATTCTGTCCACACGGAGAAGGTGCAGGTGCTGGTATCTGGGAAAATTAATTATGTTTTTTATGTAGATGAAAGATTGTATCCACCATTTATATATATATATATATATATATATATATATACAACAAACTGGAGATTTGCGCAGAGTTTTAATTTATATCAAAACACAGCAAAACAGTTAGTTATCCCACTAAAAACAGCAAAAATAGATCTAATGAACCTAGAAACAATGCTCCCAAATAGTTTTTTCTTTTACAACTTATTAAATATATATTTTTTAATTAAATAAATACATTTATTTCCCTGTTTACCAGACTATCTGTTTGACGACACATGTGGTTTATTATTTTGGAAAACTGTGTAATTACATCATGTTTATCATACATGTTTTTTGGGGAGGCACTTGTGTGGTCTTGCGTCTGGTACTAATTCATCCGACTATTAATCGTGTTAGCACCGCAGCTGTTTGGATTTGCCAGATTGGGAGCAGTGCTGCGGGGCCCTTCTGCTCTTCATCCTCAGGGATGGGCTTCCAGACATCCTCATTCCCACTGATCCTGATCAGCCTTAGTTCCCACAAACTTCTGGGTCTTTTATAGCTCTTTTTTCCCTGTCTCATCCCTGTCATGTCTTTCCGAGGCATTCAGCAGCTAGCCAATAGAATGGAGCACTTTGTTGTGATTTCTAGTAGTTCTGCTTATTTGTCTTCATGTGTTTTGTAAAAACAAGGGATATGATGATTAAATATGATATGATGTGGCAGTTAAAGGTTGCTGTTGTGTCTTGGATGTCCATTCAAGGATCACATATCAGCTTAGTAAAATTATTTATTATTTATGTAAATGTTTGGTGAAAACCTTTTCCCAATCAATGAATTATGAATTCATATCCTTATTAGTTTACACATATGTATATATGTACATATACAAAATGTATTTATCTTATAGCAAGTGAAGTCATTTAACACCAGTAAATGACCTTCGAGCTCTGTACAGCACTGCCTGCTACCACCGTGTGACATCGTTGTCTTTTCACGGAGGGCTTAACCTTCACTGTGTCTTCCTGTCCTGTAGTAATGTGGCTGCCCTGGAACAACAGGTTGCAGTAGCTTTTGGCTCGTCTTCCACCATCTGCTGCAGGCAGATGTCCTCACATCTGCCTCAGTATGGACATCCAAAGGATGGACGAAAGCCGAGTCTCCCTTCTAACAAGTCTGACATACTGTAGATGTTAAGGCCAACCAGCTTTGATAAAAAACATTTGGCAGGATAGCAGGGAATACAACATGACTAGCTTCATGGTGGAGTTTATTATTCCATGCTAATGTTTTTAACCAAAAGGCCAAAGACAGGCAGAGGGTTGACCACAACTAATTGTCATATCACCTTTTTATCAAGTCTGTTTTTGTGTTTTGTTCTTTTTAAAAAAAAAACAAATAGAGCCTAATTGTACTTTTGTGACTTTTGTCCATCCTTGTATACTCTATGTGCGTCCTGTCAACAGATAACCTATGAAAAGGACATACTACATATAAGTTCTGGTCCAATTGTCTTGAGGAATTATATTTTATTTTATGTTTATAAAAAATGTTACTTTCTTTTAGAGCCCCAAGATTTAAGGGCTACCAGCAACAAGACAGTCAGGAGCTGCTGCATTACCTATTGGACTCCATACGAGTGGAAGAAACAAAGGTAAGAATAAACACAACACATACTTTGAAAACAACGGAAATGAGGACAAGAAATTACTTAGGTGAACAGATGATTCTTTTTAGCCTTGTTGTTATTGGGGTACATTTGATGCAGAAATCTGAGCTATGTACAGACCCTGTACAGTCTGGTCCTCTTTTTTAGAAAGAAATAATTAAGCTTAGGTTTCATTGATCCTAGTGGCCCCTTATGCCTGGTTTGGCTGTTTTTGTATTTCACCCTTAAGTTGCCATGTTTTTTGGCAAGTGTAGAAAGACAAGACCCCTTCCACCACCTCCACCACCACCTCCTTCACCGTGCAATTAGGGGAGACCCCCACAGCAGAGCTGGACTTCTGTAGTCCCACCAGTGGCTACGTGAACCAAGGAGAAGTTAGCGGGTGTGTTTAGTGGTCAGCCGCAGGCCTAGGAGGGACCGCAGGCTGGGTCGAGCTGCTCCTATTTAAACTTGTGAACACTGACAGTTGTGCCACTTGTGACTTATGACAGTTGTGACTTGCAAGTGGCACGGCCGGCATCATTGTGTGATCTTGGGAAACCCACAGCTGCTGAATGAGCTCCAGGGCCACCCCATTGTGCTTGAGGGTCACCATAGCCCCCCTCGTGTACACACACACACACACTCATCAGCTGAGCTCCCATTTTAATTAGAGAGAAGGGAGGAGGTGCAGACTTCTTTATTACCTCAGAAAATAATTTGTACAGTCGTGCATTTTGCCAGTGTCTTTTTTTAAAGACCCTTTTTTATTATTTTTAAAAATGATCTATTTTATAACCAACAGTTACTGTTTTTATGGCTCAGAATAAAAAAAGGTAAATTCATTTAACAATATTTTTGTTTAAATAAAACTATTATTTTTAAACATTGCATTTCAGAAAATGCTAGCTGCAGGAAGTCTCCCTTATTTCCATTGACCTGCAGAAATAATTATTTCTAATAAACTTTGAAAATGCTAAGATGATAATGATCAGCTTTCATCACCTGAATAATTATGTACTTTTTGTGAATTACCAAACTGCTGTATTTTGTGGTAGTTTTAAACGAGTCTTAGACAAGCCTTCTGAGGTACCGTAGTCTTTTCTGTCTTATTTCTCCAGCAGGGTTACATCTATGGTATTTAGTTTACCACCTCACTTTTCACTGTGGTGTCAGTGTTCTGTTATCTCTTTAACCATGTCAATAAAATACAACCTCAAACAAGTAGGTTGGTTACAGTTAGATTTGTAAATGATACAATGTGAGTTGCTCCAATACTTTTTAATTGAGATTTAATCACTGTTGGATATGAGTGTGTGTGTCGTTAGGGGACTCTGGTATCTTTACAAGGGGTGGTTCAAACCATTTAGAGGCCTTAAGTGTTTGTGTTGATTGGCCATTAGTATCACAGTTCTGAATATGCTAATTAGGTTCCATTACATTATCACCAATTAGCTGAAACCATAGGTCTTACTCTCTGAGGGCATGGACTGTCTTTCTTCACTCATCTTCATTTAAGTTTCCATGCCTGCACTCTTCATCCTCATCCTTTTACAGTCAGGGCACTGCATGCAGTTTTTCAGGACGTAGGGGGTTGAGGTGCTGGGAGGGGTTGGGTTTTACTGGTAATTAATTAGTAGGAGAGTCTCCGCCTGGTCTGGCTGTGCCGACGGAATTGGGCGCAGACTGGCTGTGTAGGGATTAACAGGGCTTTTTGACCTAAATAGCCAGTTCAGTGTGTGGGTCCTGGGACAATGGGGGTCGACTGGTTTTGAGCGCAGACACAGACCACGGCCAATTATCTATTGATTGGTGCTTTACTGTTGGTGCCCCTCTTCACAGCTCTCTCTCCAACACACTCACTGACCATGTCACCTTCAATAAGTAAGCCCCCACGGAGAACTCTCTGACACACACACACACGCACACAAACACAGTACAGTTAATTATGACATTTACATGTTAATGTTTTTGGACAAGCTCAATAATTATTTTACACAAACGATGCCTATAATCAGTTCACCTGTCAGTCTCATTTATCAGCTATTCAGTGATGGCACAGTAATGGCTGTGAAAACATTACAACAGATCACCTTGAGTGAGATTTTACATTCATTTTTATAATTGCTTTTTTGCATTAATGAATGTCACATGAACTTTACTGAGTTGTTTTAATTCTGTGGATGTGTTTGTGTTTGCAGAGGGTGAGGGCGGGGATTTTGAAGGCTTTCAACAATCCCACAGAGAAAACGGCAGATGAGGAGACCAAACGTCAAGTCAAAGGTTCACACACGCGGCTCTCCAACCCAGACAGCTGAAAAAGAGCAACAGTTCCACCTTGTGGTGGTAGTTGGTATTATTGTACCTACCAATGACAGTCTGGCCTGTGTTTTTCTGCCTTTTTTAAGCAATTTAAATTCTTTAAAAGTAGCCATTAGAGGCAGAGTACACAGAATATTTACCAGACCCTCTTTCCATTAGTATTTAAATCTTTTCATCACTTCTTTTTCCACAAAAACAAACGACACATTTTTAACTTTGGAAAACAGAGATTGCTTACAAAAAAGCACATTGGAATGACAAAATTAATAATCGTACCTACTTTGTTATCATCATTATCATATAATTGCCCTAAAATAGTATTACACAACTTCATCTGCCACTTATTTAGACAAATGTCTTGACCACTTGTTTTAGTAAATCTGTTAACTGATAAAGGTCAATATCCCTGTCTTTCACCAGCCTACGGAAAGGAAGGTGTAAAAATGAACTTTGTGGACCGCATTTTCGTAGGCGAGCTGACCAACACCATCATGTGTGAGGAGTGCGAGCACGTAAGTTTGTACAACATAAGAGAACTCAATAAGTGTATTAGCCTCAGATGGGTTCATGTCTTCCCCGTATACCTGAATTCATTGAAATCCTCATTTGCACAGATTTGTCCTTGACCGAATGTAAACACCATCAACCTCAGTTTGTGTTTTTTTTTTTTGTGTGTTAGTTTTAACAGAAAAGGGGGGGCAAATTTCTAAAAATAAAAAACGAGAAAAAAAGGAACAAAACCAAACAGAAAGGAAAAAAGCACTTCAAGGACCAGCTCACACACCAACTGCTTGCAGCAGGCGCTTACAATGAAATGTCAGAGATGTGGGTGTATTAACAAAGCAGGAGCCACTATGCAAACTAGAATATCCTTGAAGGTAGAAAGTACTAGCTGTGCAGCTGTGAAGGAACAGGCAGAACAGCTGCTGCCCACATCTCCCCTGAAACCCTTTGAAAATGTGAAACACATTATTATTCTGAGACCCTGCCTTTTATTTTGATAATTACTAAAAATTATGAATACAGATGATAATACTGTGATTCCTCCCTTTTTTTTAGATCTCTACAGTGAAGGAGGCATTCATAGATATCTCTTTACCCATCATAGAAGAAAGGGTGAGTTTCTACAGCTGTCCATAAAAAAGTTAATATCATCAGCACTGCAGTCTGACTGACTGTGTCAGTACCATGTTCAAGTTTATTCTTGTGTAATTACAGTTGTCTTTTTTTTTAATTGGCTCTATATTGTCTTTTCACAGAATGATCAAACACATTGCATCGACTCTGCCAATCAATGACACTGACACTGGCTTTAACTCAACACACATTATCAAAAATAATTTTAACTAACAAGTAATATGTTTTATCTAAATAAGGGAAGCTTTGGATAAATCACCAATAATTGTAATTAATCGGGATTGTGATAAATCACATTTTTTTCACATCGAATGGAGATAATTCAACTTCGTGGAGAAACTTTTTTTTCTTTTGCTTAATTTTACTAATGTATGTGATTAACAGTTCAACTTTGACAGCCCAAGTTTTAACTTCATGCTTTTTTGTTTTCAGATGTCCAAACCCTCCAATCCCAGCAGGCTGAATAAGGGCAGCAGGGAGCAGGAGACAAACACATCCCAAGCTGATCATGTATTTTCTGCAGCCCACCCTGTCAACAAAAACTCCCGGAAGCTGATCGCACAGGTCAGTGTGGAGTTCATGCCAGAGCAGTATCTTTTAAGTGATTTTCTACAAGACGTGCTTTAAGAATCTACATTTTGTATGGTTGCGGTGCTTATCTAGTGTGGTGATATAATATTCAGTAGCTAATTGGTATTACAAAAATACAGCATTTACTTTTATGTTGACCTAAATTAATTTGTCGACACATGTACAGTATATGCTGCACAATTTCAACGGTTGCCTGCAGTTTGTTTTAATAAAACTTTGCCTTTGTCACTTCAAAATCAAAATCAGAAACAGATTCTTCATCTAACTTTTTTTCAGTCTACCTGTAAATAAAATTAGTCAATTCTATAGCTATTGTGTCTTCTCTTGTTTTCCAAAAGAATTTAAGCAGGAGGACAAGCTTTGTGGAAGAGAAGGGAGCAAGCTGCAGCGCAGAGCGACTGGAGGAGGAGGGAGGAGCTGGTGGATCAGCACGAGGCATCAATGTATGTAAGATGGCAGCTGCAGGCAGCCTCTCAGACAACAGTGAAAGAGACTCAGGTGCTCAGGACAGCAGCAATGATGCTGACAGTGAGGCCTCAGAGAGTGAGTGGGCTCCACGCACCTTTTCCTCCAGCCACGTTCCGACATCCACTCCTTCGTCCACTTCCACCCTCACTCCATCCTCCACACCTGTCTCTGCATCCTCTCCTATGTCACTGTCCTCTACAAGGCACTGCGGTGCAGTGGAGCAGCTCGTCACTGCAGTATCTAAAGTCAATCTGGGGTTGAATTCTGGAGACTGTCCAGCTTCTTCACACCGTTCTCCAGAGGAACATGGTGAGGCCCAGTCACGGGACAACCTCCACCAACATCATCAGCACCACCAGGGAGCCTTTCAGGCTCTGTCTCACAGTTACACTCCCAGCTCCAAGGAGTGCTCCGTACAGTCCTGCCTCCACCAATTCACCTCGGTGGAGCTACTGATGGGCAACAACAAGCTGCTGTGTGAGAACTGCACTGAGCGCAGACAGAAACTACTGCGAAAGAGTGGCTCAGCTGGTAAGACCAAAATATTTGTATTAAAGATAGCTACAATATAAACAACAATTAGCTGCAACTTAGCCAAGGTAAAGCAAACATCACTGGACGGATTAAAAATAGAGCTAAAAGCTATCCTATGCCAAAACCTGTATATTTGCCCAGAATTAGTTGAATGTTTGATGAGAATTGCCTGAACATCATTAAAAATATATATATATATTTTTTACAAATTTTTACAAAAACTTACACTAATTTTCTTTTCCTGTTTGCTTAGATAAAAAAGTGGAGAAAATTTACACTAATGCCAGGAAACAAATACTGATTTCCTCAGTGCCTCCAGTCATCACATTACATCTGAAACGTTTCCACCAGGTAAACACACATACAACCTTTTTATCACTGTCTGTGTTAATCAACTAATGCTGCTCTGATGTTTATTTAATACAATATTATTTAAATCTAATTAATTAAATTATTTTTTTTTTTTTTTTGCACTTGAAGGCAGGAATGAACCTTCGGAAAGTCAATCGTCATGTTGATTTTCCTCTCATCCTGGATCTGGCTCCATTTTGTTCAGCATCCTGCAAGGTACTTCGCATTAATAATTTATGTGAAATATTGATTGTCTTAACAAATCTTAATGTCTTTATGTTATGTTTAACATGTTTATTATCAAATGGGAGATTTCAAAATCATATTGATTTATCACTGTCTCTAAAGGTTTCTTTGTTTTCTGATATCCTTGGTTGGCAATGTTTCTGTATCTCTGTGCCTTTACTTAGTTTTCCTTTTTATTTAACTTTCATGTCCATTTGTGTAAGAACCTGGCGGCCGGTGAACGTGTCCTCTACAGTCTCTATGGGATTGTTGAGCACAGCGGCTCAATGCGCGGAGGTCACTACACTGCATATGTGAAAGTACGCTCAGCTCAGAGGAAAATGGAACAGCACCACAGGAACCTGTCAGGTCAGGGTTCAGATCTCTGTAAAACACTTTTATTTGAAGTTGTTGTTTTATGTTTATGTGGATGTGTAAAAGTAACCTGCAGTTGTGCAGCAAAGCTTCAGGTTTAATAAGACAGAAGAAGTCAGAGGGCAAAATATAGGACTCTGTGTTTTTTTTCTTTTCTGCTCAAGCACATTGTCCAGATTGACAAAAGTGTGCAGAAAGGTAGTCAGAGAAGTGGGTGGGCAGTTGCCTGTTCTGCTCAAATTCTACAGACCCGACGTTAACCAGACATTGGTGATGACAGGTTTAAACATGCTCTAATAACATGTGACACACTTAAGTCAACCTTTTTAGTGGATGACTTACCCTCTATAAACAAATACTGTGTGTCCATGCTCTTCTCTGCTGACCTTTGCCTTGATTAGGTTTGTACTCCATCAGCAAATCTGTGACTTAAGGATTTATCGACACATTGATTTTTTTGATTACCCTGAACGTACACTTATTTAATATTTGTTGTATTTTTTTTTGGCTAAACAAATAACATACTCCTCATCTTTCCCATCATGTAATGTAATTTTGTTCTTGAACACCTATGTTCTTACAGGTCAGGCGAGTGGAAGCTCCTCAGGCCAGTGGGTTTACGTCAGTGACACAACTGTTCAGACTGTACCTGAGTCACGGGTGCTTAACTCTCAGGCGTACCTGCTCTTTTATGAGGAAATGCTATAAATGTGTGACCAGCCTATAAAAATATTTTTGGATTTGTTTGTTTTCTTTTTTATTTGTGGTACGGCCTGTACAGCCCTTTTCCCTTTACCTGACTGTGAGGAAAAATAGACATTATATCACATTCGTGCAACATTTAAATGCAAATCCAACCTAGACTTACCTTTTGAATACTTGTTAGACATATAAAGAATTTACATTAGATATTCAAGATATTGGTTTTAGCATTGAAAAAGTCATGTTTTCATTTATTTTTGTGTTAGGAAAGAAGTTAATATAATTTGTTTTCATTTAATTTAGGCCACATTTTTGTGCCTTTAACATGCATGGAAAGGTTTACGACAGTACCTAGATACCAGGATGCAAGCAGATTTTAATGCATGCTGGGCTGTGCACAGCACGGTGTATGTGATGTTAATAGCGTTCGTGTGCGTCTGTGTGTGTCAAAGAGTAAATGACAGGGACAGAAGAATGTACTGTACAACAGTTCTGAGGTACTGTTTGTGTCACATTATCTTAGCAGAATGTAATTGTTGCAAACATTTGGTATATTCCCAAACTGGTTTACTTATCATTACCATATCAAAACCAGAAGATAATGGGGCTAACAGATAATGCTTTGCTATTTTACATATAATAAATTGCATTCAGTATTCAGTTTGGATATTATATCCTAAGACCAAATATAGAAAATTGACAAAACTATCTAGTGGCAGTTTGTTTTTTGAAAAAAGAAAATGTTTTCAAAGTTTACTGTATAAAATCTCAACTTCTTAATCTCATCAAAATGTATTAAATGTTAATGTTAAATTCTCTAAGAATAGTGTTTGATAGTGTCTACTATGAAAAAGTGGATTTCATCCTGCAACTTGACTAGGCCTCATCTTTAGGGTCAGGTTATTAGGAATAATATATATGATTTTAAATACTACTACAACTCCTTACTGCAAACATGATGACCACATCAGATCAATCTGCTTCTACCCCTTTGCCCCTTTGCCCTTTTCCTGGCTCCTACTGTTAGACAAACAGTTGTTATGACCTACACTTGTCCTGTCATTAATCTGCATCTCCAATGACTTTTGACTATTATATTCACTTTCATGATACAATTATCTTAACGTGGCTCTCTTATTTTACCTTCGTGAAGAAAGTCATGTAGTGAACATCTTAGCATTGCCAACTCTGCCACCTGCAGTTCAGTCGCTAAGACAATGCTGCCTTTTCTTTAAATGGCACAGCATAGCATATCTCACTTTTCCATTACATTTCCTTCTCATCATTCTTGCTTCTAATCCTTCAGTTGCCACCTAAAGAAAAGCACAACAGTCATTATTACAGTATAGTTTACCGGTACTCTGTGTATTGTTTTACCTCACTATTAGAATGTACACAAACAGTACGATGATCAGTCAGATTAATTTGCCAAAGATGTCATAACAAGTTCACTTCAGTTTCTGTGTCGTATGTTGTTTATCATCTGAATACCTTGGTTAAAAAATTAAGTTTTACAGGATATTCAAAAATCAACTATGCTGTCATCTTGCATAGGTTAAATTACGTTAAGGAATGTACTGCAAACTCTTGAAATTTCTTGCACATTAACTCGTGACCTTGCTGATAAAAAATATTTTAGAACCATGTTTTTCTTGCTTTGTGCTCATTTTCCAAACCAGTTGATGAGTTCAAAGTAGAGAATGTAAAATCTAGTGTATTCAAAGTAGAATGTGTGCGTGTGCATGGTGAGAAGAAAACTTCATGCTGAGTGAAATGCAAGGAAAATATATGATATATATACAATAAATGTTACTGTAAGCAAACAATGTACATAGTAGTAACAGTGCAAAACCATGGTGCTTCAGGATTTTTTTCAATATGGAATTTCTTGTTCCGTAAAGTTACATTTAGCTGAGAAACAAAAATTAATGGAATGACTAACTACACGCTGTATTAAAATACATTTAATTTATGGCATTAAAACCAGTCTTGTCTTTCGATGATTCATGTTCTTTTTTTGGCCAAACCCAAGTAGATCATCATAGATTTGATTATTTTTCGTAAAGCAAGACTCATTTGTACCAGAGTGTCATTAAAGCCCCCTCATCCTGTTGATCGGCTCTGATCGGGTGTGGACCCACTCTGCTTCACAACATGTTGCTCAGCTGGTGAAGAGGAGGTGGGTATTGAAACTGGAAAGGACAATATCCAAAAATGCCCCTGTAGACATTGCCCTACATGCAGTGACACCGAGTTTCAGTGGTGCAGTGTTGAAGCAGGTTGTCAGGTTGCCACCAACACAAAGTCAACCTTCTTTTGATGGTATTTTTTTTTTCATGTTTTTTTTTAATTTGTGGCAGCTTTGTGCTCGAGGACATCACAGTTAAATTATTAGCTTTGATTAATCTTACTAATGACAAACATTGTTCACACATGCTGACACAATGAGAAGACACTGAATGTGATGCTAATGGGGATTTAGTTAATGTTAATCTGACTTTTTGTGACATTGATGTATGTGTGGAAAATGAAAAAGACATGTATTTTTTTAACTTAGTGTGACCAGCTTGGGGGCCTTTTTTTGCATCTAAAAAATGTTCAAATTATTTCTTAGTGTATTGGTTGCTTTAAGCGACAACTGACCGGGTTAAATATCCTCTATACTGGATACCAGGATAGATACAGGGACAAGATAGCAGTTGTTTTTTACAAAATTATTTTTTACTCATCATTTTAAGTTATGTTTTTTTATTATTTCTCAATTTTAGCTAATTCTTATTCATGTTTGACATAAGTACTGTATGTTCTGGTGTACTGTAGTAGCATCGACCCTATCCATTAATTTTTCACCCAACAGCCTCTGCTGTTTTACCAACCACCCCACTTTCCTAACTATGTCCATGATTCTTGTTTATGGCCTTTCTCTTGCTTGGCATTCCATTTTAAACATGTTTTCCAGTTTATCCACTATCTTTGAATCGGTTTTAAACCTATGAGAGAGAGGACTGTATATTTAATTGCAAATAAAATACAACTTTTTCTGGGATAGAAACTGATTTATTCCTCTAGGTGCATACAGATTACCAATGTAATCCCTTTACTGGTTAACCTGAATCTTTCACAGTTGAACTAAACATATACATATTGATGAAAGTAACTTTAAAAAATGACGAACTATTTTTATTATCATTATTGTTAGTATTATTATTGTTATTATTATTATTATTATTATTATGTTACCATAATTTCCCACCGGTTCCTGAAGGCAGCATACTCCCCCTTGCATCTCACTTCCTACTCTCCTAGCAGAGTCCAACCGCTTCTACGGCGGCCATTTTGATTAGAAACCGCAGCGCTGGAGAAAATTCACTGCAAAAGGTGGGGGTTGTGCATGATAAACACAAAACGTACATCGGTTTCTTAACAGCTACTTAAGGGTTAATGTCCATTCTTAATGTGGATGAAATTGTTAATTAAAAAGACTGTGCTATTGGTCGCAGGCTTCCATTTATATCTCCGCTAACGCTAGCCCCTGTTAGCCCGGATAAGCTCACGTTACCTTCTTTAGCTCAGTGTAACGTGACCTCATGCTCTTTATAGTTCAGTGTGTCACCGTGTTTATGGAACCGCTGTTGTGAGACATGATAGTATTAGAGTTTCTAAAGTTGTCTTAGGTTTGGTTGTCAGTTTAAAGTCTATTATAACAGGTTATTCAATCGCGCTAATGATACGTTAGCATTCGATGATATTCATCGTCAAGTATACGCTTTATAAAACAAGTCGAAAGTGTAATACGAAATAAAATATACTGATGTCACGCGGTGTCCAAACTAGTTCTAAAATACAAATGAAGACGTGAAGCTTTGATCGGCTTTTAATTTTAGGTTGGAAAAACCAGAAGGATGTGGGATCAGGGAGGACAGCCCTGGCCGCAGTGGCCTCTCAGCCAGCAGCAGTGGATGCAGTCTTTCCAGCACCAGCAGGATCCAGGTCAGTGAGAGATGCTCCTGAACATTGAGGTGTTTTATATCCTAAAGACATCCTAAGAGCCGTCAGTGTAGACGCATTTTAATGAACTTGTGTGGTTGTATTTACCTCTGTGCAGGTCAAGTGGACTGGGCTGCTCTGGCACAGGCATGGATAGCCCAAAAAGAGTCCACAGGAGCAGAGCAACCTAGTGTTCAACCTAATGGGCAGGAAATACCAGGAATTGAACACACTGGACCAAACAACCATGGTGCCTTTCAGGGTGATCAAGGGTTCAATCGAGTTTGGCAGCCAGGTTGGTGGTTATGTGATAATTTTAGTGTTTTTATTCATTCTATCAGTTCTTTTGCAACAATTCCTGCTAAAGCCTCACTGATGGATTTTATATGCATATTTATTTTTTGTCACCTGACTGATGTTTAGATGTTTACATTTAACAAACTTAAGTGGGTGCAAAAATCTATTGACACACACTGATAGTTCATTCTGACTGTGAACAGAATGGGGAATGCATGGACAGCCGCCGCCACCGCCGCCTCCTCCACCCCCTGACCAGCCTTGGATACCTCCTGGGTCAGGTCCAATGGATGTGGTAAACCCTAGTGAGGACAGCAACAGCCAGGACAGCGTCGAGTTCAACACTGAAGCCCACCATGGGGTTTATCCCCCAAACAGCCATGGGTATGGGGCACAGCCCGACAACTACGCCATGGCCCCCATGGCCATGAACCAGTTTGATTATCAGGTATGCAGATGCTACAGTAGAAACTGTTGAAGAGTTTGGGTTTTAGTGTGACAACCAAGTAACACAAGAAGGCGCAAACCATGTAAAACAGTCCCTGCGTCTTTGCTTTCTTGATGCGATGCAGAGAAAAGTCTTGGTTTGTTGAGGAGCCAGCATGGTTTGTTATTAATTTAAGGCTGTTTTATTTATTTATTTATTTTAAGCTAATAGACCTATTACAATCTAGACTAACAGAGGAATGTATAATAACCATACAGATGAAAAGCATCGCTTTGGCACTCAGCAAACACCAACATTGTGTGCTTAAACCTTTTATTCACTTCGCTTTGGCACTCAGCAAACACCAACACCACCACAATTTTTGTGCTGTTTCTCCACAGCATGGAGCTGCTTCTTCCTTCAACCCTGCACCTTCAGGATTCCACTCACCATACTGGCAGGGTCCTCCTCAAAACAGAAGAGACGCCAGACCTTCTGGGTTCAGGGACAGGCCTAGATCCCCTATTCAGCTACCAGTCAAACAAGAGGCCCCGGCCCCTCTACGTAAGCGCTTATTAGTTTTTGTTATCCATTTACTTTATGTGTATGTTTTACTGCATGTTGGACATTTTCTTTTCACCAAATGTCAACATTTGGAATATTGATAGATTGGTTAAAATAAATGAATGGATGAAAGGCATGACCTGCAGTCTACTGACCAATGTTATCTCCTTTGTAAATTGCTAGTGTTACTGTGTCACCTTGAGTTTGCTCCATCGCCGAGTGTAAGGGGTGCAGGTGCAAGTAAAGAGAGGGATATAGTTAGATAGAACTTAATCCATAGCTTGTTCCCTTCAAGAAATTAAGGAAGAAAAGGAACATAGGAAGAGAGATGAAACATGGCTGCACACATTATTCATTTTTTTGAGAAATTGTTTTTTAGCTTTAGATGCTGTAAAAAGACGCACACTACCTGCTTGGATCCGTGAGGGCCTCGAAAAGATGGACAGAGAGAAGCAGAAGAAGGTCGAGAGAGAGCGAATGGAAAAGGAGCGTGCAGAAATGGCAAATGATGACAGCAAAGGTCATGAGGTCGACAACCAGGGTGATGGACCACATGTGCCTCGCAAGAGCAAATTTGTAAGCATCTTTTTTACAAATCTGGCTTAACAATTTCTTAGGCTGCCTACTACCTTTCGTGTGTCATGGCCATGTACTCTTTATTATTAAAAGATCTCTGTCTAAAAGAAACATACTCCAGTAATACACTTGATTGTCTGTTTTGCTGTTTAAAACCAATCCTGTTGAATTTCTCTTTCAGGACAGTGATGATGAGGGAAATGAAGACAATGACAATAGAGAAAGGACACCCATTAAGAGAGAGTTTTCTGTCCGGAGTCCATCGCCCCCTGCAGAGGAAAGTGAACCTGAGATGACTGAAGAGGAAAAGGAGTTCCAGTTGGTACGTTTAATCATCTAAGCATCTGTTTGTTTATATCTATCCTTTTTAAACCTTGCTCTGCTAGTAAAATGTTTTGTTCTTTTCTCTTTTAGATGGTCATCACAAAAACGCTATTAACTGAGATCCTGCTCGAGGTCACTAATGAAGAAATCCTGCATGTGGCCAAAGAGACTCATCGGAAAGCCACTCGAGGTCTGGTCTTGTTTTTTCAGTTAATGCACAATAGTAATTTGTCACAAAGAAACCGTATCATATTTATTAATCAGTTCAAAATTACACTCCCCTTGGCCCTATGAACTGTGGTGATTGTGCAGCAGTGTGTCTAAAATGTACTTTCAACCATTCTCTGCTAATGCATTAGAAGAAGAGCAGAGCAGTGTTTCAGCTCATGGAAATCTGTTCATCCTGGTATTTGATGGTGCAGCTGAAAGACTCTCAGCATTGACTCTGACCACCACCCACTTATTGTACAGACACCATGGATATTAATGATTTGGCTGTGCATTAGTACAGATTGGTTTTTTCCTTCACTCCGAATGTTTGACATGGATTGTGACAGAATTTTGTTTGTTAACCTTCTCTCTTTTCTCCATTTTTTTTTCTTTTCATTTATTTTGAATATTTTTCTCTTGGCCAATGACAGCTCTTGTGAATAGTGCATTATCTGTGACCGCCCTCTCTAGTGACACACGGCTTTGAGAAAATGGCAGTATGTGTTTTTAACATGTTGTTCCTGTTGTTGATGTGAATCAAAGCTCCTGCAAAACAGCTGGCACAGTCAAGTGCACTGGCTTCTCTGACTGGTCTCAGTGAGTATCCCTTTTCTGTCATGGGGGAGGGTAAAAAATATTTCTCATCCATTGGCGATAATAACGGGACAGTAAGAATGGCATTAAATGCAAAAAAAAAAAAAAAAAAAGACAGAACTGGCATTCTACTGATTGATTTTGGGTCTTTTTTTTGCAATTTTTAGCAGCATGCGCTCATATAAGATGCATCCATGTTAAAATTATTGAGAGCAATATGGATATATATGATAATATGTATGATATAATATGCTGTATTATTTACCTTTGACTGAGATTAAGTGGACACTTAGTTATGAGACTTTTTTGTGACAATGAACTTTGGTCCTGACCAACACTCAACAACCTGGGGGCTTTGTGTGGCAGGCGGGCTTGGTGGCTATGGTTCAGATGAGAGTGGGGATGACGATGATGATCGCAGCGTGCGAGGGTCTGATTCTTCTGACACCGATGAGGAGGAGTTGCACCACCGCATCCGTGAGAAGCAGGATGCATTCCGACGGAAAGAACGTGAAATGCAGCAGCTGCTAGAAAAACAAGCACAAGATGCTCAGCTGGCACGTGGTAAGACTTTTTCTTTGTAATCTTTGCTCATACATGTCAAATAAGGGAGCTTTTGATACTTTTTTAACCTTTAACATTTTTGTTTGTTTCCTCAGAAGACATGGCAAAGGAGAGGTTGAGCAGAGAAAGGGGGGAGAATGATGAGGGCAAGGCAGAGTCTCCACATAAACAGGAAGTAAAAGAGAGGGAGGCGGAGCCTGTAGTAGAAAGGCGTAGATCTCGTAGTGAAAAGGAGGGTAGTGAAATTAAGCACTCCAGGAGAGGGAGAGAGCGATCAAGAAAAGATGGTAGTAATTCCACGGCTAATGGTCGCAGCAGCAGCTCGTCTTCTTCCACCAGCCACAGCAGCAGTCAATCTTCATCCTCCTCTTCCTCCTCTTCAGCATCCTCCCGCAGCTCATCGCGATCCTCCTCTCCACGGCGTAAGAGGCGCCGAAGTCGCTCTTTGTCTCACAAGGCTCGCAAGCGCAGTCGCAGCCGTAGCTCCCACAGGCGTCACAGCGATCGCAGAGAGGGCGTCAGAAGGCGGAGGAGCACTGAGAGATCAAGTCGGCACAAGAAGGACCGCAGCGATTCCAGGGAAGGGAGGAGTTACAGAAGTAGGTCCAGGTCCAGATCTAGAGACAGGGATAGAGATCGAGGCAGGGTGAGGGGAAGAGACAGTCGTAGTCGCAGCAGGGAGAGGGAGCAGAAGAAGGAAAAGGAGAGGAAAAGGAGCAGAGAGCCGAGGGAAAGCTGCCATAGTCGCAGCAGCAAACACAAGCAAAAGGCTTCCAGTAAGGAGCGTGAGAGGAGGAGGGAAAGGAGTCGTAGTCCTGAGAAAGATAAGAAAAAGAAGGACAAAGAAAAGGATAGGGAAAAGGAGTCTGATAAAAGGAAGGAGAAAACTAGAAGTAAAGAGAAAGATAGGGATAAGATCACAGAAGAAAACGGCAAGTCAAAGAAACGAAGAGAGAGCGACTCATTTGTAGACTCCCGGCAGGATAGCAAAGCAAGCAAGAAAGGCTCCGCCAAAACTAGCAAACAGCACTCAGACTCTGACACAAGTAGATCCCCTTCCCCTGAAATTAGCAAGGAAAAGAAATCTAAGAAATCTAAGCGTAGTCGCTCACGATCAACGGAAAGGTCTCACAAGTCTGGTAAGAAGGCAAGCCGCAAACACAAGTCTAAGTCACGATCAAGGTAGTATTCGTTTACTTACTCTTTCTTTTTGTATGTCCATTTGTTGTTCTCTGTAATAACTTAAATATCCAAGGAACATTATGAAAATCAGTGCTTTTATTGATGTCATTGGTTTCAAAATTGTTGATATGAATTATTACTGTGCATATGGCAATTTTTCTTGTCAAATTCAAATATGTTGTCAATGAATTTCTACCAATTCCATGAAGTCTTTATAATAAGGTCTTAAGTTTGTAATTATGCACGTAGGTGTGCTTCTCTAACCTACAGATGATCTACAGTGTTTGATACTCTTGCCAGTGCGTGAGGTGCATGTTTGTGTCTGTGTGAGTGTGTGTGTTTTTGTTGCAGTGTTAATGTCCTATCCGCGCCTCTCTTTACAGGTCAGCATCACCTTCCCATCATAGCAGACGCTGAGGAGCACAGAAAATCACCTGATCTGTGCACGCTACCATTTTTAATTCCATGAGTTGACCAAGCTTGTCTCATTATAGAGGCAGTTGTGTAGGTGAACACCCCACTCATACATTTCTCCCCATCTTTGTAAATATGTTGTTTTAGGGTGACTGAAGAACAAAACAGTTAAAATAAAAATTTCACTTGTAATATGCAAAATCTAATATGACTAGGGTGACACTAAAAGTTGCATCATTTTAAACAGTAGCAGGATTAACCTTTTTTTCCCCCTAAGTATTGTAAAATGTCAATAAAAAAGTTTGTTCCTTGTTTCTTACGTCGTGTTATTCAACACCTAGTTAGGAAAAGATGACAGCGCAGCCTGACATGAATCTCATTATAAACAAAGAAATAGGTAATTGATGATGCAATAACAGATAATTGTTGTGTAAGCAATAGTACCATCTTTGTGCTGCCATAAAAAGTTTCATAATAGTAAGTTGGAGATTATTATCTCACTCTTGTATTTATTGTCATTACTGATGAGCCACATGTTTTCCTGGGACTAATGGGTGCAGTTCATTTAGTTGATTCTAGAGGATTTTTAAAATAAAAAAAAACCCACACTATTTGTAGCACATGATGACCCACATCACATGCCAGAACCTCATAGTAGGCATTCAAGAAGTCATTTACATCACCTTACTAATGTGTTTATTTCCGTTCCTATTGTACGGCCACGACTGCTGTCGCTGTAGTTGTTAATATTTGTATATACAAATAAATCAAACATAAGGCTGGTATTTGTAAGAATGAGCCTCCAACAAGAGAACTCAATCACTTGAAGTGTATACCATTTCGTTACGTTGACTTGGACTTCCCAGTTTGGACCTTAAACCTGTACGGAACGGCGTAACTGCGAGTGATGTTTGTTTTTTGTTTTTTTCTTCCCAGATCGCATAAAAAGGGCCTAAATGTTCGAACTTTACTGTATAAAAGTCTCCGGTTTTTGGCAGAAAAACAATAAGTTAATTCAACCAATGAAGTGAAAACCTAATAGTATATTTTATTATTTTAAAAGACTCCATATACTTTCCCTTAAATATATTGCAGAATCGACGAAGCCGGCTGTAGAAGAGCGATCCGGTAGGAACAAAACATTTATTGTTTCTACCCGAGCAGTAAAGGACCGAACACATCGTGACAAAAATCCTAACTCGCTAAGCAAAAGGACAACCTGCTACTTATAATTTGCCATGTGTATTACTAAGTTAGGTCGCCTCTCCCTAGGCCTGTACGGCCATTTACAGACAGTATGTCGGGCGGCTTGGAGCGGCTCCAGCTGGTCTGCGGTGCGACGACAGCGGTCACTGGGTCTGCAGAGCAGCGGCGGTTTGGAAACAACACCTCACATCATGTTCTGTGAAATCAGGTATACACACTGTACACACACTGCACATGTAGTCTTGTTCTACACCAGGGACCTTACTAAGTCAATACAAGCAGCATAAAACATTGTTGAATATGACCTGGAAAAAATATTGTAACAGGAGCAGGTCCAGATCCTAACAGCTGATATGTTAATGAACCAAAGGTCACCCAAATTATTATTGATTAAAGTATTAACAGAATCAGAATCAAACAACTAAAATTATTATATTACCCTTTTAAATTATATCAGCTTATGTAGCTTTTGAATTTTTTAATCAATATTTGTCTAGATTATATATTATAGTTTTAACAGTTGGTCCATTAATCTATTAGCCATTGGGTAGCTTGGTGCTGCTATTACAATTATTGAATTACTGCTTTGACTTGCTTGCATGTTCTTTCTGTGGTCTAGTCAACACAAACCAACATACTATTTTTCCATATTTACTACTATGTGAAAATCTTAAGCTGAAGCCACTGTGTATGTTTTGCTGTGTACTTGTCTATTTGCAGAGCCCATTCAACTTCCCAAAACACAGTGGACCCAGAGGAGGTGAGAAGGTTCCAGTTACTAGCCAGCAAGTGGTGGGATGAAGGGGGAGAATTTGCACCTCTTCATGCCATGAATGACCTCAGGGTTCCTTTTGTCCGGTTTGTATTGCTACATCACACACATTTCTGTCAACATTAAACCCATATTTCTAATCTGTTAACTCAGGTGAATGACTGATCGGGATCACAGTTTGACCTGAAGCAGATTTAGCCTTGTGTTGTTTTGAGCCAAGGAAATACTGAATGTGTGAAAACTACAGCAATGTAAAGTGACATAAGTCCTTCACAAATAAGCACATAACGGCTGTGTCAAGGTCTGCCCCCAACTTTGTTTTGATTGAAGAGGTCTGTTTGCAAAGAGGCCTCTGTGGCTGCTCTGTTGTTCTGTTAGTGGTAATTATGATGATGGCTGTTTATGCCAACAGTCTGACACTGCTCTTGTACATTTGATTTCCATCATACACTTCAGCCCTTAGGGCACCTTTAAATGAGACATAACTGCACCACTGCAACGCTTGCTGCTGTAGGTCTGTACTTACTGTTATACAGTAAGAGGCTGCTGTCTGACCGACTGCTTCTGTTTGTCTGAGTTGCTTTGTTATGTCAGTCCTAATTTGTAGATATCTGTTAAAGGGAAATGAGATTGAGATTGATATTGTTTTTTGTTTTTTTTAATTATTGATGTCTTTTACATTTTTAGGGATAATATGCTGAGTGTGCATGGACAGAGACATCCTGGAAAACCACTAGCAGAATTCAAAATTCTAGATGTGGGTTGTGGAGGAGGCCTGCTCTCTGAGGTAATAACAGCTGTGGACCTGGAAAAAAACTGTTTTAATTCATTATTATATTAGGAGAGTCTCATAATAGTGCAACATATGCCATTGTTTTTTCTTTTTAAAACCAAAACAAACACAAGCAGCTAGTGTATTTTTATGGCTTTGTATTTACACTAATAACTGTTACTCAGTTAAAATGTATAACCCTAACCGTTAACCATTACGTTACCATTACCTTTACTTTACTTCACCATTAGCTTTTTTAATTAGCATCTTCACCCCGTCATTGAAAATATTATTTTTGTTACTGTGATGTTACTTTTAGTTATATCACCAAAGGAAATCAGAAGGAATAGAACATTTCCTCTATTCAAACGTGAGCGTATCTTGTTGCGTTTTTCGTAGTTTCCACAGGAGGGCGCTGTTTGTTGTAATAAAATGGCGATGTATATTTTTGGCTTTAACACATTGATTTATCCGAAGCCCCAAATTTTAAAATATTGATAAATAAATAAGAACGTTTAAAAGACGGTAATAAATATTATACTTATTGTGTATTGGAGAAAGTTTTGGGTTTTTTGCAGGTGTTTGTGCCTACAGTATATTTAAAAAGTGTTAATTCTCCCGAATTGTTTTTTATCTGCAGTGCACTGTTACCAAATTCTAAAAAATACAAAGGGAGTTCACGTCTGGATGTTTTAGAAATGCCAATAGAAATGTGAAAGAAATTATTTTAAAATTTTAACCATGAAAAACTTGTAACCTAACCCGATCTGAGTTTTTGGTTTAAATCTAATCTATCTTACCTAATATTTTCTGTTGGTTTGAATGTTGTAATAATTTATTTACCCAGTTAAACCACTTGTTTCTTTGCTTCTTTCCTTCACTTCCTCCTCACTGTCTTTGTATGCAGCCTCTAGGTCGTTTGGGAGCTGAAGTGTTGGGCATCGACCCTGTAGATGACAGCATCTACACTGCCCAGATGCACACATCATACGATCCAGATCTCCGAGACTCTGTCTCTTACCAGGCCTGCACCATAGAAGAACTTTCTGAAAATGAGAGGAATGTAGGACATTTTGATGCTATTGTAGCATCAGAGGTGGTGGAACATGTGGCTGACCTGGACACGTTCATCTTCTGCTGCAAACACGTGCTCAAGGCATGTGTCTGTGTCAGGCATTGTATGCACCCATGTAGTGCATCCCTGTATGTTTGAATATATATGTTTGAGTATAAACTGATGCTTTGCTTTGTGTCTTAACATCAGAAATAACAAGGCAGCTAAATTGCCCCATAAATGATTTTACTTTAGCCTTTTTCTAAACCAAGCACTTCATTTTTGTCTTGATGCTTGATCTTGCTTCTTGGCTCTTATATTCTAATACCTTGGATACCTACTTCAAAAAAGCTCTTAATCAATTAAATACTGTGCATGAGCTGAGAATGTCACTTTGTTTAGAAATGATCTGCAACAGTCACCTCTCTAAATCATCATTTTAATACTGCCCCAAAACACAGCATGTCCTTTAGCTTTTATATAGTAAAAGTGTCTGTTTTTCTCTCTGCAGCCAGGAGGTTCACTCTTTATCACAACTATTAATAAAACCAACCTTTCATACGCTCTGGGTATCGTAGTAGCTGAGCAGCTGCTTGGCATCGTCCCCACTGGGACACATGACTGGGAGAAGTTCATCAGCCCAGACGATCTGGAGCGCCTCCTGGAGTCCAGTAAGTTCTTATTGTCATGTCAACAATACAGGCAATTGTATTTTGCTAACAGCAAATAGCACACATTTATAAAAAAAAGATTTCATATTTTGAAACTGACTCTGAAAAGACTAAATGAAATCTGACTGTATGTCCATCTGTTACCATTATAAAAACCCTAACCCTAGAAGATTATATTCTAGTAATTTGACACGTAATTAAATGCTAACTAACATGCTACATACTTTTTAAGATGCTAACATTTATGTTTGTAAGTTTTAGACCTTAAGTCTTAGACCTGTTTTGCAGTTGTGTATTTCTGTCCTCAGGCTCTGACCCTTCCATCCTGCCTCTGTCTTCTTTATCAGATGGTTTCTCTGTGCAGTCTGTGAGAGGAATGCTGTACAACCCCGTGTCAGGAGCCTGGTGCTGGGCAAACAGCACAGCCATCAACTACGCCCTCCATGCTGTCAAGATGAGTGCCAATGCCTAGCCGGTTGATGTTAGTGAGTGTGGCCTCCACCCTGAGGAGCACAGTGTGTCTGCCCGCAGCTGAGTCAGAGGACTAAGGCGGGATGATATCAAAAGAAATGATTGACAAGAGCTCAGGCAGATAATTAGCAGCTGATTTGCACTCGGAGTGAGATGAGGTTGTGTGTTCAGTCAGTTGCAGTGTTATAAACCAGTGGGGAGATTTGATCTCTTCAGTGACTGCAAAGAACCTCAACAGACTGGTGAATGTTCAGCTGTACTCACGCTTATTACATCATAAACTGTGTCAACAGCAGGTAAAACGATAACAGTGATACAACAGATCAATGCTGAACAAAAATCTGCGTGATTTCATGAAGTTCGAGCTAAAAACAGTTCACAGACAATAATTGTGTGAGAGATTCTGGCTTCACACACAATCGTCCTTTCTCTGATTAGAATTAGTCCTTAGAGGAAGCAGCTATTATATAATTCAAATAATGCCTGATCTCAGAGAGGAAGTGGTGTGTATGACGTCATATGATGTTCTTAGTGAGACTGCAAGGCAACTTAATAAAAAGACTGATAGGTACAGACAGGTCTTCTGATACGTTTCTTTAAGATGACAGGATATGAGGTCATCACACAGCACCGTGTTTTTCTGCTCTGTGTTGTCCTCTGGTGGTGTCCCTCAGGTGTCGCTGAGATGATGCTGGGGGCTCGCCAGGGCGGGGTGTCTCTCTTGTCTTTCCACTGGAGCAGACAATAGGCCAGTTTCGTCAAGCTGCCTCACATCATGTTATTCACAACAGGAAGTGGGTTGGTCTATTAAAGTAAAAGCACAACGTTAGTAGAGTAGAGTAGAGCTTTATTCATCCCCCTTGGGGGAAACATACTAGTACAGTAGCAAGTGGCAGTGCAGAAAAAGAGAGAAGAGGAGTTAACACAATAAATAGAGTAAAAAGAACTAAAAAGCTGCTGGACTTGAACAATGTACTGATAATGCGAGAATTTTTGTTTTCCGTTACTAATTTACAACAGTATTAACACAAACACTATTGAGCTGCATACTAAGCTAACTAGAGTTATCACACAACTTAATAACTTAAGTTAATAAGTTTGAAAGAACAGGAAAATTATCAGTGAGTATTTCCATGCCAATATGTCTCCATCATTAGAGACAAAATTGCAACTAAATTACTTTGTGACTTAAGAGGATTACATTTGTATTTAACAATGATCTCTAACATGTTATAGCTACATGGTTAGAGAATAATGTTTGTCATTTAATTCTGTTAAACCTGCAAATGCAGCAGTAGTTTTTTGTTATATGTATTAAATGACCATTGTTGGACATTTTATGGAATTTATGACCATTTAAAAAAACTTCAAGTAACCCATAAAATGTGTCCCAGCATTAATCAGACATTTGATACCTTGGTCCATTGGTAAACAGCAGTTTTTTTTAATTTATTTATTGCTTTACATTTTATTTTGAAATATAATGAGCGGATGTGAGCTGTGCCCCTCGTCACCGCGTCAAGTGTTTTCAGCCGAACATCATCTGGACTCTGGTATAGAAATGTCCTCTCCTCCTGTGTGTTTTGGAGGTTCATTAAAACTCACCGCCGCCATGACGTAGACCATCTGCGGGTGTTTGGATGAAGACTGACGGAGGCTGCAGCAGGGAGGAGGAAGTCTCTGAGGGACAGACGGAGGATGTACTGGGCTGCTGGCCTCGCCTCCTCCCGGCCGTGTGTTGTTGAGCTTGGGCGGAATCACAGCCTGCCTCTCGGGCTGTGCGCCTCCGAGCAGCAGCAGTCATTGTATGGCTACATCATCGCCGTCCCTCTGCAGGAGTACGGAGGCATCATGTCGGTGCTGGGCTCGGACTCCTGGTGGAAGAAGACCCTGTACATCACCGGGGGGGCCCTGCTGGCCGCTGCAGCCTACCTGCTGCACGAACTGCTCGCAATCAGGTAAGGACTCGAAGCCTCATCTGTCTATGACAGTCAGCTGTTCGAAAACTAAACCGGTGTTGGGCTGGCGGTGTGGCCTTAGGTGACGGGATTTCGCTACACAGGCCTCACTGTTTGTTTTTCACCAAAGAGACGAACCAGCAAAGATAACGCGACAATAAATAAAGGTAGAGTCTTTATAAATAAATAAATGTAGTCACGCGTCTGGTCATGTGCCAGCTCCATCAGTGCGTAAAAACGCAGAGCTCTGAGTCAGTCTGTCCTTCACTGAACTCTGCAACTGCTGCTGCTGCACATAACCGCACATAACCATAACTGCTCAGAAATGACAATAAAACTGTTCATTGTTGTAAATGCAGCGTTCTTTATATATCGTGCTGTATTTCGTCATGCCAATGCTAATATTCTTTTTTATGTATAGTATTCCCAGAGTAAGGTATTTCTCTGACTCAGCTAGCACAAGTTCTAATACAGTAAAAATAAAAAGATTGTATTAATTTTAGATAGTTTTAACTAAAACAATAGGCCCCTTAACTTTTCCAAATACTGTATCTCAAGCTCTACCGTTTTAATAATCCTCAGTCAGTGTTGACCCTTAAGTTCCTCTAGACTTCCTGTCTACCTTGCAGAACTCCAAGTTCCCACTGCCTCAGTGCTTCCTCGTGGTATTATACTCCCAACTCTGTGTTCTACTGTGGGGATTATGTTATTTGGGTTACATGCCCCTCCCTCCTTCACCAAACCTAGACATTATCTTTATGTCCACAGACCAAGGGCTCGAGTGACTGTTTTTCACAGGAAATGAAGTGCCTACTTCAGTTTCAGACCCATTCAGTTCTGGCTGGCAGTTTTCTAATCCTCAGATGCAGCATTTTATGGGGTTCTTTAAAAAAAATGTCATTAAAATGTCAGCGTATATTTTGATAACCTTGTACAGTGTCTCTTGAAGTCTTGATGTTTCCATGACAACCCAAACTAGGGTGAATTTAATGTGGGCCATTTCAACCCTTTGTAATTCATTCAAATACAGGGCGTTTGGCCAAATGTTTCTGCATGTGAATGAAGGATTATTTGGATTATAAATACATCCTGTCACAGTGGCCTGATACTTTCACTATGTCACTATGTAACCTTTCGTGTGAAACTGCTGCCTCACGTGCAGGCTGTTGAGTCTGTGCCCACAGGCATCAGCTGCTGTGCCATGTGATGTGTTGTTGGCACAGCAGCTCTTCCACTCTGCTCGGCTTTCATTTCCAAGAGAACTGAGTGATTGGAAAGAGCGTAAGTAGTCCTCCAGGGGAAATTTCAGCACCAGGTTAAAATGGACAGAGACATTACAGTGAGGACAGCACACATAAGACATTGTAGTTAGCTGCTGAGGGTCATTTATAATGTATTTCAGCACCACATGACTGTGGACAGCGACTGTTAAATGAAGCTGCACAGTGCTAGAGATTTATGGTAAATTATTTTATACTCTATGTTAAATTAAAGGAAGAGAATTATTAAAATTATTGCACTGATGTTTTAATGACAGTACAGTCATTTGTTAGCAGTGATATTGCTTTAATTACAGTTTATTCCCACACTATAAAGAATAAGTGTTGGAATGACCCAGTAAATGTTGGATAATCAATAAAGAACTAATCATCTCTAATTATATTATATATAAATCCCAGTCAAATGACTTGGTAATGTTCATAAACTAGAAATAAACCAGTTTGTTATGCTCTATGACTGTCTTTCTGTCCTTTTTGTGTAGGAAGGAACAGGAGTTGGACTCTAAGGATGCCATCATCCTCCACCAGTTCTCCAGGCCAAAGAACGGTGTCCCCAGCCTCTCACCCTTCTGCCTCAAATTAGAGACGTACCTGCGTATGGTAGATCTGCCCTATCAGGTGACCTACAGCACTTGGTTGGTGGAGACAATGGAGTCAATTTCAGTATTGTCTTTGTTTGGAAACGTACACACATTTGTAATTGATTTCTTTTGTTTTATGAGAAAAGTGGTTTTGCAGGAATTTCACTGTAAAAAAGTTTAGTAAAGACAGTAGAAGTTGTCATAGAGGAGTTAGTCTAGTCCTATCTACAAAATTGAAGCTCATGAGATTTTTGCTTGTTTTGCTTGTTGTTGTAGGCTTCATCCTTCAGTGATATCTACTAGAGTGTAGAACTAAAGGATTTTTTTTGTTAATTTTTTTTTTCTTTTTTAAGTTTTTCTGTCAATTTGAAAAGATAAACTGCAACTTCCTTTCACATTTAAATAAAGCATAGGCAGAGGTAAGAGATTAGGGAAAAAATACTGTATAATCATGCTAAAGTATTGGTAGCAAAAATGCTTTAATTTAAACGTGACATAATGTAATTAAATTGTGCATGAAATTATCAAAAAAAAAACCCTACAAAGATACTTAAAATGTGAATAGATCATGTAACGTCATGAACACATCCGTGTGTTGTAAAACATCCAGATTTCTTTCATATTCTGACATCAAGGCACTTTCCTCCGCAGAACTACTTTGACGGGAAGCTGTCACCGCAGGGAAAGATGCCCTGGATTGAGTACAACCATGAGCAGGTTTCGGGGTCAGAGTTCATTGTGGACTTTTTGGAGGAGAAGTTGGGCGTCAACCTCAACAAGAACCTAACACCACATGAAAGAGCAGTGTCCAGAGCTGTGACCAAAATGGTGGAGGAGCATCTTTACTGGTAGGTGAAATACAGTTGTTATTTTTTCTTCAATAGATTTTGGAAGTAGCCTTTTGATTTTGAGTTGAAAATGTGTCCCCACATGGTTTCTTTTGTACATTTTCACCCATACACATCCTAAATGATATACAATACAATATATACTACTAAGGACCCATAATTAGTCTAAAAAAAGGATTAAAATTCATCCTTTGTGACATATTAAGGTGTTAAATGTACATCCAGACTCTGTTCTTACTGTCATCACAGTTAGATCATCCATGTTCCTCTGCTGTGACTCACTCAGCTACCTTCGGGTGCAGTTGGGAAGTCTTGAACCACTCCTCCTCTCATGGCCTCACAGAGTGTTTTCCATTATCTAAAAGCTCTATCCATCAACACACACACCGACACGCGTCAACACACAGATTTATTAATTTACCTCCAGTGAATAATGTCAGCCATATGATATTTTAAACTACACAAAAAGACAGAATAAAACTAGTACTTTATTGTTTTTATTACTACTTTGAGTTTTTCCCCCTTTTACACAGAAGCTGTTTTCTTAGTTGTATTCAATGTGACAGATGTGAGTTTACAGTGCTGACTGTGTCATACTGAAGATTGTTTGCCTCACCTCCCTCTCCATCCTCTCCTTGTCTCTCCCTGGGTCACCTCCTCTCTCACCTCTCGTCTCTCTGCTCCTCCTCCCTCCCCGTGCCATGTTTACAGCCACATATAGACCTATTGATTGAATAATTTATGTGAGGGAAGGGCAGTGGCAGACACGGGCCGGCAGCACTCAGATATGGTGAGATCATACAAACACGTCCTTTTGGTGCAGTTATTCACAAAGAGACAAAAGGAAGTCAATTTAAAAGCGAGGAAACAAAACAGGTTATTTTTCTTCATGGATGTTTCAGGTAGAGATGAAGAGACAATTAAACAGCTATCTAATTCTACTCTTTAAAACATCTTTAGACATTTATTTTAAAGACAATATACTCTACTGCAGCTATACATATAATTAACAGGAAGTTCAGAACATACTGTATATCATAGATATACTTATTGTGTGTGTAAATGCACACAATTAGCACACAAACCTTCAATTATTTGCATTTCCAGTTTTGTAAAAAAAAAAATTAAATAAATGAATTAATAAATATTTCAGTGCAGCTTATAAAAGCCCCATAGGCATTTTATAAGTTGCACTGAATTAGTATGTCACTTACTTAAAGCTAGTCTATTATTAGTATAAAAAAATACTTTAAAAGACTAAAAGAATAGTAAAAAGAAAAGAAAAAAAATAGACGTTATGATCTGATTGTTACCAGATGTAACAGGAAGCAGTCCAAGGCCATTGGGCAGTCGTTAGTCTAAGATACAACTTGGGCCGGACGTCTTAATTTGATTTTCTTTGAATTTGCAGTGAGTGGTCTAATGGAAAAGACCATCCAGAAAAGTCTACTCCAGACTGTCAGATGAGTTGAGTGATTGTTAGTGAGTTGTCATGACAAGGGTGAGAGTGTGTGAGGATGAAGAGGTCTAATCTTGTTAGAGACTGCTCACACACAGGCAGATGTAGTTGTAGTAATACAGTAGCAGCAGAATGGCAGTGACCCAGAACATGTCCATTATTATACACCAGCACCCTTTTCATTAGAGTAATTAATGAGCAGAGCCCACTGGGAGCCGGAGATATTCTCTGATTTAAATTAAATTTATTGCTGTGACAAGGGAGACACACCAATGATTAATTAAAGTTGGAATAAATAGGAGAATTTCAAGTTTTTAAAAAGGGTTTGTTTACACACAAACACAGCCGCTCTGTGAGTCAAATCTCTACGTTAAGTCAGGACGACTTCCAGAGTTTCCCAGACTGTGCACTGCAGCAGTAAGTGGATGTTTTCCTTCATCAGTTTTTAATTTGGAAGTGTAATGGAATTTCTCGGCGATGTGCTCAGTGTTTTTATTTTCTCCTCAGAACAATACACCCATGTGCGTAACAATAGGCTGAGAGGATAAATATAGGTGATCTGAGGCAGTGACTGCATCTGAGAGCAGTGCAGCTGATGAATGGACAGAAGTGGAGATGCAGTTATTGATTAGGACAAGGCTGGTTGTCAATAGATATCAAAGTGTTCAAAGGAAGTGGGAGTTAGTCAGGACACAGTATTAAAGCTGACACTGTTTTACATCAGGATGTAGTAGTTGTCCAGGTCTCCACCAATTGACTGGCTCCCTGTATTTTACTTTGTACTATATTTAACCCACTGCTTTGAGATTACGGTAAATGATGCTGTGACTTTTTGGTACACTAATAAAACTATATTGAATAATATTGACTGGTTAGGCTTTTAGAGGGCGTGGCATCATTGACTGTGATTAGTATCATCTGACTGTTGTACAGATTCCTGCTTCAAAGTATAGAGGCCATTCTTTATGGCAGTGAATCCCATCCACAGTAGTGTGCCGTGAGAGATCATCAGGTTTGCCTTGGACAAATATTCTGTTTTACCTGATTGGTCTTAAAACTACTATTTATTTGGATATATTTATATGGAGACAGGCAGAACAACTACACACTCTTCCACTAGGTGGCAGGAGATGCAATTAAAAGTAAAATAGAGAGACTCGGAGTGGTTGAAGAAGGTCAGGCCCAGGTTTAGTATAAAAAACTCAAAACTGTGGTGTGTGTACCACCAGCGGTACATGAGCGCTCTCTAGTGGTACGCGGGGAAAATTCATATTTTCACATTTACAGTTTCAGTTGAATAAATCTGAAACACACTATGCACAATTAATACAACATTCAGAAAAATGTCTAGCTACTTGTGAGATTATGAAATAGGAAGCTAATAGGGAAGGCTCAATGTTTTCTTAGGTGGTACAGAGTATAAAAAGTTTGAGAACCACTGAATTAGAACAACCAATCAAAAATAAGTAAATGTGTATCCAAACCATACCACCATGTAAGAGAAGGTTTTTGTTTGTATGGTCCAGCTTTCAGTCATTTGTGTTCTCACCCACTGACTTTATCACATTTCTTCCCTATATATTTGCGAAAGACCCGCACGGAAAATATAAATCCTTAGGAATTCTTACATATTAGTTTTTTTATAAAATAAAAAAAAAGTTGCACCAGAACAACTACTTAACAAGTGTTCCATTTTGGTTTTGGTTGTGTAGGACGATCGCCTACTGTCAGTGGGTGGACAACCTGGAAGAAACCCAGAAGCTTCTGGCCATGAGTGGACCCCTGAGTGACACGCTGAAGTGGATACTGAGTCACCTGAATGGCAGCATGGTACGCAGAGAAATGTACGGCCATGGCATTGGACGCTTCTCCAAGGAGGAGGTTTACACCCTGATGGAGAAGGACATGAGGACACTGGCCACACTGCTTGGTAGGAAAGATGACAAATGTTTGTGTGTTTATTGTTGCTGCCTAGAGGAAGAAGAAGAAAACAGCAGCAGCCTTATTTGTCATCGTAAATATACATGCTTGTGTAAAAACAGAAAAGAATTTGTCCCTTGAATTTGTACCTATTTTGACATAGGAGCAGCACTCTCTGGGCTCGGAGCTTATTGTCTTGTGTAAGTCCTCCTCCAGCCAATGGTCTCAGTCACTTCCTTATTTAGTGCCTGGGCAACAGGCCACAGCCTTCAGCTAAGAACAGGAAATAACGAAGAAAATTAATTCGATTATTTTTCTATTCATCAGCTGATTAACTGACAAATAACAGCTGAATTTAAAGGGAAAGTGAATCACTAGAGGGAGCCCACTAGAGGGAGCCCAACTACTACCGGTGTTTCATGTGTCACCAAGGCTGTAAATACTAAAATTAAATTAAGCTTGAGTCAAGTTTTAGTGGTTTTATCCAGTCCAGTAAGTTTCTGATGGAGGAGGAGTAGAGAGTTTTGTCTTGACACAGTGAGTGACATAAGCTGCAGCCGCGTAAACTAGGTCTGCCGTTTGACATGCATTTCATCCACATACTGTCCATACAAAAGTGACTCAACAGAGTCAAAGTTGTGATGTCAGCTGAGAGATACTTCATCCACTGAGCGTCCAGATGGAAACAAACAGACGCTTCTACGAAATAAATGTGTTTTGCATCGATCCGTTTGTGCCGTTTCCGCCCGACCGTTATTTCTGTGAAATGGAAAGTCGTTCTCAGACTGACGGCGTCAGAACTGCACTGTGACCACAGTACTTGTTCTTACAGTGGTCTGTCAGAGAGTCAAATGTCTGACATGCAAATACTAACTGCTCCATTGTTGCTCTTCCAGCTTCTTCTTGGATTCATTTAAAGACATAAACATTGTAGATTGAATTATGATGAGATTCATTATATATTTTACTCTGCAGCTGTTATTGTTTTTTGTGTGCTTATAAGCTACACTATTTATTTACTAATAACATAAAATTCCAATCCTGCTAAAAATGTAACCTGATGAAATAAGCATTACCTTAGCATTTTCAGTGATAATTTGGATAGAAACTTCAGATTTTTCTGCCCCTCAATTTACTTGTGCAACAATGTTCTGTCTCTTCTCTGTCCCTCAGGTGATAAAAAATACTTTATGGGTTCTAAAATGTCCACGTTAGATGCTACGGTCTTTGGGCACCTAGCACAGGCTATGTGGACGTTACCTGGAACACGACTTGAACAACTCATCAAAGGTCAGTGGATCCATTCACACCATAGACAGATTGTCAGAATGGTCAAAGTGATTTTTTGTTTTCAGGGATGTCACAGGAGCAGGCTGATTAGAATAATCACATATTTTTCCTCAAATGGGATTTTTATTAAGATACTTGTGTATTATTGAGGAAGACCTAAGATTAAAATATAAAAACTGAACAAAAAATTAAATGATTGTTTATTGCTGTTATAAATATGGAACCTTATATAGACTTTTAATCTAACTGGGTAATTTCCGACCGTTGCATTTCAGGGCTATTTATGGAGTTTTATTGACAGCTACTAATAGCCACACTCATTACAGCCTTTCTCAGTCTGTGGTCTAGCCAAGGACTGAAACCTTTTTTGGTAGATAAATGAATGACTTACCAACCACCCATTTAGGTCAGAAATGGTCAGAACAACTGTATTTTGTTGTATTTTGTAAGTTTATTTTTATATTGAGGAATTGTATGTTACTCTGTTCAGTTTTTTGATTCAATATTTTACTTCGATATTTTGTATTTTTCTGCCACTAGGTGACAGTATTGTCTAACTGCTAAGCTATGATTCAGACACTGATAGCTTGTACTGAGCGCTTGGTGCCCAATCTAACATCATAAAATGCTGTAATTGTGAGACATATATAAAACATAAGATTTAAATCTGTTTTTACCTCCTCTCTCTTTTATGACCTTTGGTCAAAAGTAATGGATTGTTGTGTCTCTCTTTTCAGGTGAGCTGATCAACCTTGCCATGTTCTGCGAGCGGATGCGTAGGAAGTTCTGGCCTGAGTGGTTTGTGGAGTTGGAGGACCTTTATTATGAAGGCGACAGCGACAGCAGCGGTGGTCGTGGCTCTCCTACAGGCCCGCTGGACTTCGGCCTCTTCTCCAGGACTGACACTCTGGACGACAGTGATGGCAGCTGCCATTCAGCAGAACCCTCGCCGCAGACGCACTACCCTGAGTCCGACCACTCACTGTTTGACTCAGACGTAGGCACGGGATCTGATAATGATGTTCAGCTGAAGGATGAGCCGATGCCGGCCCTGGAGGTTTGACCCAGGAAGGTACAGAGGCAGACTGGTGTCCATCGGTGGAAGAAACTATTTCAATTCATCCACTTAAAATAACCAACACGTCCCAACTTCTTGGTGAACAACATTGGTATTTACATGCAGAGCGTACTTAGGTCGAGACTGTCCCCGGGGGCAGTTCCTCTTTGCCTTATTTGTTTCTTTTCAAAGATGCAGAAACTAGTGTGGAAGGTCAATACAGAGGACGTCTCATGAGACCTGGGGCAGCAGAGACAGAGCCTGTCCACCTTGTGTCCATACACCCATGCAGGCAGATGGAGATTGATCATGTGATCATAAAGCAGGATCAAACAGCAGCACGGTGCTCACAGGTTTGTGTTACATTTTAGAACAGAGACTTTCTGCTGGGATTTTGATTGAGTTTGATTGAGTAGACTGTATATAAGAAATGGATAGAGCTGTCGTTGACAATAAAAGACTAAGACTAAGAAAAGAAATTATGCAAGGAACTGTTTGTTTTGTAGGGTGAAAGGATATTAAACCGCTGTTGGTGCAACTCTAAAGATGAAGACATGGTTTTATAAAATAATCCAAAGGATGCTGACCGCTGTAAAACCTCAAGTAGAATAAAAAAAGAGGAAATGGTCACGATAATACAACAGATGAGTTCACAGTAACCACACAAAATGAAGCTACTGTGGCTCATTAGAGCATGTGGTCTCCCAGTTTCAGTCTTCCCTAGTGAAACTCGATGTCAATTTTGTAAATTCTGTCCCTGTTTGGGGGACAAATAGAAGAATCTGCTGGGAGACACCTTCAGTGCTTCACTTTGGGACCTAGTTCAGAAAATGATTGCAACATCCATTTCTTATGTATAATCTATGCAGACAGGACAAATGGCTTGCCTCCATATACAGTATGTACAGTGGCTTCATACCATTAGTATAAATATGTATGACCCTTTGATGGACACGTCATCTGTCAAAGGGTGGTCTAGTGTCAACTGTGATTGGCTCCAGCATCTGTCAGAATCTTCAGCTTGAATTGGTGGAGTGGCAGCTGCTTCTTCTCCACTGTTATCAGTTCATGATTTGATGTGTAAGGCAAAAACAGATCAAACAACAACAAAAAAAAACCGTGTTCCTGTCGGATCACATGTAGCCTGAGCTGAGTCAGAAGGAAAGACGAGAAGATCGATTCCTGCAGTTATCGTCACCCTTTACTCATCTATTAATCACGTCTCTGTCTGCTTAGTCTCTTTGAAAGCTATTTTCACTTTATTGTTATTGGCCACTAGATGGCGGCAGCAGTCTACTTAAATCATGTTTCTAGTCTGTTACATTAAGGTCGACAAGACCAGCTGCAAATTAAAAAGAAAAAAAAGAAAAACGCCAAACAAACTTTACAGAGTAGTCTTTGATGCTCAAAGGCTGCTTTAACTATTCTTTCCTACACAAAGGTTTATGCAAAATTATTTATATTTGTTATTATTTATTTCTTTGTTTCTGTCAAAGAGAGAGTCTTATTTTTGCACAGGTGGAATTTTATTTTCCTCTTAATTTAACTTGAAGTGTATATTAGTGCGTATTCACAGTGATTTATTTGCCATTATGGGACAGTGTTGTTTACTGTAATGGCTTAGTGTCTATATATGGTCATTCTATAAATCTAAACAAACAGAGCTGTACATCACCGAAGAGCTTGTTTGTAAAGGAATGTATTGCATAATATATGTAGGTTAGAGTGGCTTAAGGGATCAGGATTTTGACGCTCATACTGACATAACAAAAAAAACCAACACATTTTTCACACTAAAATCACAATATGCTGAATCTGAGCATCACTTTCAGTAGAGTGCAGAAATCTAACACATCCTGCAGAAGAACTGGATACATTCCAAAAATATATTTATCCATTTGAGCCAGTTCTGGGTTCAGACCCTTAATTTTGAGAAACCTAGACTTTGAGCTGACACAATATGTAACTATTAAATTACTTTAGAGGAGGGCAGTTAGAACTCTGCACTACGTTGCTGTATTTCTGCGGCAGAAAAAAACATCTTTATTTTCATCACTTCCTTTAATATCTGCGGTATCACATTCAATCATCATGTCCACACATGTTATATCAACACGTCCACACAGAACTTTCCAGATGGTTTCATGTTCTCATGGGGTGAAGTTAATAAAATTGGATATGAATTATATGAATACTCACTGCTGAAAGACCACACAGTCTGTTTTGGCTTACCGCTAATAGGCGTTGGACTTTTTTTTTTCCCTTAGCTGTGGCATAAATAAATCAATGCACTATATTGGCAGCATTTACTTCATTCTCTTTCTAAGTTGTTCTTATTTAGAAGTTGTTTTTATTGACGTGTTTCAAAGTTATCGTCATGTCGACATAATTTAAAGTTGAATCTGTCTGGAGTTTAATTGCTAGTTATTTACAGTTGTGAGGCTGCAGCCCCCCCCACCCCCCCGCGGGGGCTTTGTTGGTTGGGCATCATTTTTTTCTTGGGGGTTTTTCT